TCCAAACCCATCATCCCTGCAGTGTGCTCCCGTGCTGCTCCTCCAGAGGAAGGAAGGGGAGTTTCCCCCAATCTGCCGCTTGTGGAGTCCCTGCTGGAAGAGCAGTGGCCCGACTGTGCCATGGATCACAATTTATGGCAACCCTGAGCTGAGAGCTCGCTCCTTGGCTCCGTCTCTGCAGCCGGCTTCCCCACTCTGATACCTGGGAGCTCTGCTGCACTCAGGCACCCCCGGTCTTCCTGTGACCCCGAGGGTCCTGAGACCACACTGTCCCTCAAGGGTTCCACCCCCCGCTTAGCCACTGGAGCGATGTCCCTCAGCGGAGCCGACTTCTTAAAGTTCCGATTTTGTGCTCTGCTGCTGTATCACTTGCCAGTAGCAGCTGATGGAGGCCCCCTCCCCCGCCATCTATCTTCCCAAATATTGCCTCAGATTCACTTCTCTGCACGTCCTACCTTCCAAAGAGTGGTCGCTTTTCTGTTCAGAGAGTTGCTGCTACTCTTTTCTTTGATCTCCTGTGGAGTTTGTAGGTGTTTGGAATGGTTTGATCCCTATCTAGCTGAATTCCTGGGATCAGAAGAAATTTAGGTCTCCTACTCCTCCACCATCTTGCTCCTCCCCCCATACATAATTAGTTTTTGATGTAGTGATCCACGATTCATTGAATCGTGTTTCCAGGAATTTTAAAAAATTCTTCTTTAATTTCCTGGTTGACCCATTCATTCTTCAATAAGATATTCTTTAACCTCCATGTATTTGTGGTTCTTCCAATTTTTTTCTTGTGGTTGACTTCATATTATAGCATTGTGGTTTGAAAATATGCATGGTATGATCTCAATATTTTTTTACCAGTTGAGGCCTGATTTGTGACCTAGTATGTGATCTCTTCTGGAGAACATTCTATGTGCACTCGAGAAGAATATGTATTCTGCTGCTTTGGGATGAAATGTTCTGACTATAGCTATAAAGTTCATCTGGTCCATTGTGTCAATCAAAGTCTTTGTTTCTTTTTTGTACTTCTGCTTAGAGGATCTGTCCATTGCTGTGAGGGGGGTATTAAAGTCCCCTACTATTATTGTATTATTATCAATGAGTTTCTTAATTTTGTTATTAATTGGTTTATATATTTGGCTGCTCCCACATTAGGGGCATAAATACTTACAATTGTTAGATCTTCTTGTTGGATAGACCCTTTAATTATGATATAGTGTCTTTCTTCATCTCTTATTACAGTCTTTGGTTTAAAATAAACCAAGTTGTTTGTTTGATATAACAAAGAGTTATTGTTTGTGTGATATAAGGATTGCTACTCCAGCTTTCTTTTAATTTCCATTAGCATGACCAATGGTTCTCCACCCCCTTACTTTCAATCTGGTGGTTTCTTTGAGTCTAAAATGAGTACATTCTGAGTAATTGTTGAAAGATATTAATTTAATGCCATTGTATTACCTGTAAAGCCACTGTTCCATAGACTGTCTCTGTTCCTTTCTTTTTTTTTTTTAAAGATTTTATTTATTTATTTGAGACAGAGAGAATGAGAGAGACAGAGAGCACATGAGAGGGGGGAATGTCAGAGGGAGAAGCAGGCTCCCTGCCGAGCAGGGAGCCCGATGCGGGACTCGATCCCGGGACTCCAGGATCATGACCTGAGCTGAAGGCAGTCGCTTAACCAACTGATCTCTGTTCCTTTCTGATCTTATTTACTTTTGGGCTCTGTCTTCATTCAGATGATCCCCTTTAATACTTCTTGCAGGGCTGGCTTTGTGTTCACAGATTCCTTTAGGTTTTGTTTGTCTTGGAAGCTCGTTATCTCTCCTTCTATTCTGAATGACACCTTGCTGGATAAAGTATTCTTGGCTGATTTGCAACAACGTGGATGGAACTAGAGGGTATTATGCCAAGCAAAATAAGTCAATCAGAGAAACACATGTTTCATATGATCTCACTGATATGAGGAATTCTTAATTTCAGGAAACAAACTGAGGGTTGCTGGAGTGGTGGGTGGTGGGAGGGATGGAGTGGCTGGGTGATAGACATTGGGGAAGGAATGTGCTATGGTGAGCACTGTGAATTGTGTAAGTCTGATGAATTACAGACCTGTACCTCTGAAACAAATAATACATTATATGTTAAAAAAAGAGAGAGAGAGAAGATAGTAGGAAGGGAAAAACGAAGGGGGGGAAATCGGAGGGGGAGACGAACCATGAGAGACTATGGACTCTGAGAAACAAACTGAGGGTTCTAGAGGGGAGGGGGGTGGGGAGATGGGTTAGCCTGGTGATGGGTATTAAAGAGGGCACGTATTGAATGGAGCACTGGGTGTTATACATAAACATTGAGTCATGGAACACTACATCAAAAACTAATGATGTAATGTATGGTGATTAACATAACATAATAAATTTTTTTAAAAGTATTCTTGGCTGCATATTTTTCCCATTTAGCACACTGAATACATCATGCCCATCCTTTCTGGCCTGCCAGGTCTCTGTGGACAGGTCTGCTACCAGCCTATGTGTCTACCATTGTAGGTTAAGGACCTCTTGTACCAAGCTGCTTTCAGGATTTTCTCTTTATCTCTGTAATTTGCAAGCTTCACTATTATATGTTGGGGTGTTGACCTATTTTTATTGATTTTGAGGGGTTTTCTCTGTGCCTCCTGGACTTGAATGCCTGTTTCCTTCCCTAGATTAGGGAAGTTCTCAGGTACAATTTGCTCAAATAAACCTTCTGCCCATTTCTCCCCCTCCTCCTCTTCTGGGACCCCTATTTGGATATTATTTTGCTTTATGGAATCACTGAGTTCTCTAAGTCTCCCTTCACGATCTAATAGTTTTCTTTCTCTCTTCAAGTTCCTTATTTTCCATCATTTACCTTCTATATCACTGATTCTCTCTTTTGATTCATTCATCCTCATTTTTATAGCCTCCATTTGGGATGGTGTCTCAGTAATAGCATTTTTAATTTTGGCCTAAGTTTTAATTCTTTTATCTCTACAGTACGGAATTCTCTAGTGTCTTGTTTGCTTTTTTCAAGCCCAGCTAGTATCTTTATTACTGTTGTTTTAAATTGTAGTTCAAACATCTTACTTATATTTGTATTGATTAAATCTCTGTCAATAAGTACTACCTCCTTTGAGGTGAATTTCTCTGTGTTGTCATTTGGTCTAGAAAAGAAAAGAAGAAAGAAAGGGAAACAATGACAAAAGAAAAAGCAAAAGAAACAAAACAAAAACAAAAACAGAACTAAACAAAAACAAACAAAAAACAAAACAACAAGTTGGATCCTGGGTGTGTTTTGGTGTGCTTGTTAAAAGAAACTAGATCCCCTGGGCGCCTGGGTGGCTCAGTCGTTAAGCGTCTGCCTTCGGCTCAGGTCATGATCCCAGGGTCCTGGGATCGAGCCCTGCATCGGGCTTCCTGCTCAGCGGGAAGCCTGCTTCTCCCTCTCCCACTCCCCCTGCTTGTGTTCCTGTTCTCGCTGTCTCTCTTTGTCATATAAATAAATAAAATCTTAAAAAAAAAAAAAGAAACTAGATCCCAAAATAAGAAAGAAGCTGAAAGTTCACACCCCTCACTCCTCAGTGAGCCCTCACAGAAAAGCAGTCAATCACTTCTCTCCCCAGTTTCAGTCCAAACTCTGTGTACACCAGACCTGTCACTGAGCGTTTTTATCTCAAGCACATGACTGAATTTCAAAACTGCAAGTTTTATGGACTCCTGCAGCACAGACCCATGCTGTTCCTCCCAGGGGATGGAAGGGGGTCTCACCATGCTTCTGCCTTTGCTGGACCCCTGCCAGGAAGGTGGTCACATGACCATGCAGCAGTTCACAGTTAATGGCAACACAGAGCACTGTTTTCAGCCAGCTTCCCCACTCTTGTGCCTGGGAACTCTGCCACACACAGACACCCCTGTTCTTCTTGTGACCCTGGGGATCCTGAGACCATCCTTTCCCACCTGGGATTCTGCCCTGCTTCACCACCTGAGCACCTTTAAACCAGGGACATACCCCACTGTAGCAGAATTCTAGCTCTGATTTTGCTCTCTGTTACTTATAACACTTTGCAGTAGCCTCCTTAAGCAAGCCCCTCCCCCTCCACTGTATCCTCAGATATATCACCCCAGCTCAAGTCTCCACACCTCCTGCCTTCCAAAAAGTGGTCACTTTTCTACTTGTAGAGTTGCAGCATTTCTTTTCTCAGATCTCTGATTACTTTCACAGATGTTCAGAATGATTTGACAACTATCTAGCTATATTGAAGAGACAAGACAAACCTAGGGTCGCCTTACTCTTCCAACATCTCTCCTCCCCGTGAGATCAGACTTTAATTTTAGATATTCTGGTATGTGTGTAGAAATATTTCATTGTTGTTTTAATTTTCATTTCCCTAATGATTAGTGATAGTGAACATATTTTCATATGGTTTTTGCCATCTGTATTTCTTCTTTGGGGAAACATCTGTTCAATCTTTTGCCCATTTTTACTTGGATTGTTTTTTTTTTTTTTCTTAGTATTGAAATTTGAGGGTTCTTTATATATTCTGAATACAAGTCCTTTATCAGATATGTTATTTGGAAATATTTCCCCCAATGTGTGGTTTGTCTTTTCATTCTTTTAACAATGTCTTTCAAAGAGTATTATTAATCTCATATTGATTATTATTACCAGCATGTAGATTGTGTCATTTACTCATCAGAAACTGGTGAAGGAGCTATTACTATTCCAATTTTGCAGCAAAGAAACTGAAGTGCAGAGGAGTTTTTCACTTGCCCAAGGTCACAAATTAGTAAGTGGTGGAACCAGAACTCGAAACTGGGGCCTTCTGAATCCATGGACTGGGCTCTGAACCCCAGTTCTAAACTAATACTCACACTTTGGGTGTTGAGATGAAGGTCCGTTCTAGGAAACTGTTTGGCACCATAACCTCTGCAACTACAATGATGCAGTTTTGCCAAGCCTCTTCCCATGCTCCCACTTTTCCATCTTCTTTTCTCCAGACTGGTTGAGGAAGTGAAGGAGCTGTGTGATGAACTGGAATTAGAAAATGAAGATGTTTACATGGCAACCACTTTTGGGGACTTCATCCAACTATTAGTGAGAAAGCTACGAGGGGATGACAAAGACCACGAGTGCATCATTGACTATGTGAGTCCTGGGCCTTCCACATGGGCTTGGCCCTACAGACACCCACATCTGTGGATCCACAATGACACATGGAGGAAATCTGGACATCAGGAAGGCAGGGCACCTAAGAGCCCACCTTCAGTGTCCCAAGCTCTCCCTGGTAACCGTGGATACCCTGAGGGTGCCAGTGCAGTTAGGCAAATACAACAGAGGAAATTGTTATCTATAGAACAAATTCTGATCCCCAAGACATGAAACTAGGATATATTTTTTTATTTAAAATATTTTTTTAGAGAGAGAGAGATTGAGCATCAGCATGGTGGGGAGGGGCAGAAGGAGAGGGAGAGAAACTTAAGCAGGATCCACACCTAGCGTGAAGCCAGACACAGGGCTCACGACCTGAGATCATGACCTGAGCCAAAATCAAGAGTTGGATGCTTAACAGACTGAGACACCCAGGGGTCCTGAGACTATGGTATTAAGAAGAGACTGGGATGCCTGGTGGCTCAGTTGTTTAAGTGTCTGCCTTCGGCTCAGGTCATGATCCAAGGGTCCTGGGATCGAGTCCCGAGTTGGGCTCCTTGCTCAGTGGGGAGCCTGCTTCTCCCTCTGCCTGCTTCTCCCCCTGCTCGTGCTCTCTCTCTCTCTATTTCTTTCTCTCTGTCTCTCTGACAAATAAATGAATAAATAATCCAAAAAAAGAGAGAGACTTTTACAGTGTACTTCTCACCCTCCTCCTTTGGTGGTTTTTCCCAGCAGTGGCCTCATCTCTCCTGTGGCTCCAGCCCCTGCCAGATCACCCTGCCAAGATTCTAGTTCCTCTGGGGGACTCTAGACCCTAGTTCTGGTCCCACCACTTTCCTGTCCTTCTAGTCTAGTAATTTCTGGGACTGCCTGCTATTGTCAATCTCTGGGTCAATCTCTGGGTTGACTCATGGCCTCTCAGCTCTTTCATCACCTGTGAAACCAATTTCCTGCATTAAATTCCTTTTGTTGAAATGCCAAAAGAGGAAGAGAAAGAAAGGGAGAGAGGGAGGTAGAGGGAGGTAAAGGGGAGAAAGAGAAAAGAAAGAGAGAGAATGGGGAATTGGGAATATTTTCCTATTAGCAAAACAAGTGATCCTGTACATTCAACTTGTATATATGGAAGTGTAATGATACAATTGCAAATTATATATATATATATATATATATATATATATTTAAGATTTTATTTATTTATTTGAGAGAGAGAGTGAGAGAGAATGAGCAGGGAGAGTAGTATCTCCACTGAGCAAGGAGCCTGATACGGGGCTCAGTCCCAGGATGCTGGGATCATGACCTGAGCTGATGGCAGATGCTTAACCGACTGAGCCACCCAGGCACCCCACAAATTTAATTTTAAAACAGACTCTTGAAAAATCATTCTGAGGTGTCTTGGTAGGCTACCAGCTCCCATAGGACTCAGCATTGGGATAATTTGTTTGGAACAAAAGATGAAGTGACCAGGTGGCCAGGATGAACACCAGGTTGACCTTGGGATTGTGGACAGATGATTGATTAACAAATTTCAGGAGAGAATGACATCCCAAAGGATGCCATTCAGTGTGAAATTTCAGGTCTATAGGGAAGTGAGCAATGGAGTTGGCGTCATGTCTGGTGACTCACAAGTGTCTGTCTACCAGCTGGCACTTCCTACGTGTGGAGGCCAGGCAACCAGCCTGAAGTTACACAGTGGGTAAATGGCAGGACTGGGGTTGTAGCCCAAGCAGTCTGGCCTCAGATTCTGTCATCTCTTCTTATCACTCAGCTGCCACCACTGTGCACATTGGGCCAAGGACGGCAGCAGGACCAGATTTGGCAAAAGAAACCTGAGAAGGCTGAAGGACCTTAAGCCCTGGCCCCTTTGGCAGTGTGTGCATCTGTGTTTGTGTGTGTGTGGTGTGTGCACAAGTGGTTACCATCTGTCTGTGAGTGTTTCCTGTGTCTCTCTGTGGGTTTGTATCTGTCACTGATGCACCATGTGAAGAATCCACACTGCAGCTAACACCTGCAAAAACTCCCTTCCCAGGTGGAAAAGGCAATGAACAAGCTGAACCTCCGAATGCCCCACCAGCTCTTCATTGGGGGCATGTTTGTGGATGCTGAGGGTGCCAAGACCTATGAGACCATCAACCCAACAGATGGAAGTGTGAGTGCGGGCCTAGAACCCCCTCCTACCCTCTCTCCCCCCTTCTTACCCCATAGCCTCTTCTCCCATCTACTCCACCACCTGGCATCTGGGGATTCTGGCCCAAGAGGGCCTCTGCTTGGATGCAGAAAGGTTGCAGTCATTTTCCAGTCCTCCCTACAGGAATGGCCCAGAGGGGAGAAATGGCAGGGAGTCAGGAGGACTCTAAAAGTCTGGAGCCTGCTTCATAGAATGGGAACAGAGTTCAACCACCCCCCCACGCCCCACCCCAAAGAGGAAATGAAGCCATTCCCTCCTCCTCCACACTTCAACAATAACCCTAGCATGGCCCCTATCTTCTTAAATATGTGTGCACCCTACTGTTGGGAAATTCTTCTTGAATCCCATGTTTGTCAGACTGTCTTGACAGTGACCCTCTTATGTCATGACCCAGTACACAGATACTGTATTCTCTTATGCACACACCTACCTGAAACAACACTTACTCCTACAGGTGCATACTGATAGTTTTCCATTCTGCCCCACCCTATAGCATCCTTCAGGGCCTGCAGAAAACAGATAGCACGCTCAAAATGAGTCCTTTGAGGGGAGTTTAAAGAAAGTGATGGACAAAGGGGTGGACAGGGAGTGGGGGCACACACAAGGGGGTGCAGTGCCCTCAGGCAGAAATCGGGAGCTGTTACCACCTTGAGGCCTATTTTGAGAATCCCAGAAAGGAGGTTGTGTGGACAGTGCTGCCTGGGTGCTGGGGTCTTGGGCAGGGAGGGTGCACCTTACCTGTAGTGACCAGCAAGGTGCTGGCCTTGCCTCTCCCACTTCTGTCTCCTCCTGGCTTTCCCTTTGGTCAAGCCCAGGTGGCAGGCGGTGTGGGAGCCTGCCCTGTAGTGCATGTGGGCACTGTCAGGACACAGAGCAAGGATGGGGGACAGGAATGTTTCTGCTACCGTCAATGTTTAGACTATTTCACTTAAAAATAAACCTTCCACCTGGGACTCACTAAATTAATGGGCTTCTGTTCTTGGCTTGAAAACACTTAGCTAATCCTCAGCCTTGTAGCTGCAGCCTGAGTCTGTTGCCCTGTTTGGGCTCAGTGGCAAGTGAAAAGAAGGATCCTGGTATGTGGAAACACAAATAGGTCTCTCTGAAGGCCCTTGCCTTTCCTAATTGTGCACACCCTTCCAGGGCCCTCCCATTGGCCGACCATCCCCTCTGAGCCCTTCCAGGTGGCCGGGGGAGTGGGTGGTGTGGGGCTTCTGTGTACATGGAGCCCAGGGAGGGCCTCACAGCTCTGATCCACCACAGGTCATCTGCCAGGTGTCCCTGGCCCAGGTCAGCGATGTTGACAAGGCAGTGGCTGCCGCTAAGGACGCCTTTGAGAACGGATTGTGGGGGAGGATCAGTGCACGGGACCGGGGCCGGCTCCTGTACAGGTGAGAGCCCCACAACCACCTGTCAGACACCCGACCTTTGGCTTGGGTTGGGGCTGCATGCCTGGGTCCTGCCAGGAGGAGGTGGGGTCCTGGACACATTTGTGTGACCAAGGCCTGAGGCTCAGAAAAAGTTTCTCAGAAGAAGTGGCTTGAGAGACAGGAGGGATTTCGCCAGACACAAGTAACCTTGAAAGGAAAGGTGTCCTCGGTGGAGGGGACAGTGTGATAGAAGATGAGAGGGTACAAAAGTGAAGGTGCTAATCAGATTGGAGCAGCAAACTGGCAAAGCTAACAGATGGTCCTGGGCAGATTCAGACAGGTACAGAATTTACCTGGAGTGGCCTGAACTGGAGGTGGGATCAGGGCTACTTTATGCCGAAGCCAGCAAAGGAAGGATGGAGCCTGTTCTTGTCTCCAAGACCTCTCAAGACCTGTCTGCTGGTCCTTGCTCAGCTTGACCCTGACTGCTGGAATCTCACACTTCCCTTTTTTTTAAAACCAGGGCAGAAGGGACTCTCTCCCCTTAGTTCTATCAGAAATCTTAGGGAAGGACTTGGGGTTGCTCTAGCTTATGAGAATGGGGTGGGAGTGAGGCCTGAAGGAGAAATACTGCTCCCTTAGAACCAAGTGGTCCCAGTGGGGGAGGAGCAGCCACCCCCAAGGAAGTGGAGTGATGTTTCCAGAAGGGGGACTGCTGGGCAGATGAACTAAACAGTGATGAAAAGACTGGTGATCACTGCTTTGTAATATAGCTTGAAAGACATACAAATGGCTAACAGACACATGAAAAAATGTTCATCATCATTAGCCATCAGCCTTACATCCACAGCCAAGAATGTGGTGGTGGCCCATGCTGCTGTTAGGGAGCCAGGGGGAAGCAAGGCTGAGCCTGCCTGGCACCCCACACTTGCCCTTCCTCACGTCTATCCAGCCAAATCAAAACCACACTGAGATACCACCTTACACCAGTTAGAATGGCAAAAATGGACAGGGAAAGAAACAACAAATGTTGGAGACGTTGTGGAGAAAGGGGAACCCTCTTACACTGTTGGTGAGAATGCAAGTTGGTACAGCCACTTTGGAAAACAGTGTGGAGGTTCCTCAAAAAGTTAAAAATAGAGCTACCCTAGGACCCAGCAATTGCACTACTGGGTATTTACCCCAAAGACACAGATGTAGTGAAAAGAAGGGCCATATGCACCCCAATGTTCATAGCAGCAATGTCCGCAATAGCCAAACTGTGGAAAGAGCCGAGATGCCCTTCAACAGATGAATGGATAAAGAAGATATGGTCCATATATACAATGGAATATTACTCAGCCATCAGAAAAGATGAATACCCAACTTTTACATTAACATGGATGGGACTAGAGGAGATATGCTAAGTGAAATAAGTCAAGCAGAGAAAGTCAATTATCATATGGTTTCACTTATTTGTGGAACATAAGGAATAACATGGAGGACATTAAGAGAAGGAAGGGAAAAATGGGTGGGGGGAATTGGAGGGAGAGATGAACCATGAGAGACCATGGACCTGAGAAACAAACAGGGTTTTAGAGGGGAGGGGGGAGGGGGGATTGGTTAGCCCGGTGATGGGTATTAAGGAGGGCACGTACTGCATGGAGCACTGGGTGTTATACGAAAACAATGGATCGTGGATCACTACATCAAAAACTAATGATGTATTGTATGGTGACTAACATAACATAATAAAATTTAAAAAAAAAAAGAAAAGACTGGTGAACAAGCTGGTTTTAGGAATCTGGCTTTTGTGCTCTGGGTCCTGGGGAAGCTGTCAGGCATACAGCCTGGTCATGATGTGGTCCAAATGTGCTTGTCATCTGGTGGGAGAGAGACCCCGTCTTGGCCTTGCAGTCAGAATGCCATTTTTTTCTATTCCAGAGACCAGACACACCAGGATAGCCCCCAGCACAATGAAACAGAGAGGGGGTCCTGTATGGTTTTGAAATGGAAGAAATGGTGGGGTTTGGGGCAGACCAAGGTGCACCCAACCTGCCATAAGTCAAGTTAGTTTCAAGACCCCTTGAAGAGCCCATCAATTTTAGGAAGCCATTGGCTTCCTAGAGCCCCCAGATTAGGCAAAACTGAAACGTGAAAGCCCAGGCTTACGGTGCTGAGCCTTCTGGCCCCGAAGCAGGGACTCTAATGGTAGATTGTGCTGGCCCAGAAGAGGTTTTGTTCCTTGAGGTGCTCTGCTGCCATCTAGTGGCACATGCCATAACAACACCACTAGCAACACAACAGTGAGGGGTTGGTCCCTGCGCAGCTCTAAGTAGAGACCTGGACTGCTTGGACACACATCTCAAGGCCAGGCTTGAGAGCTCCTAACAACCTGGTCCCTGCTTCATGCAGTCTCCCAGTCGCCATGGTGGAGGTGTGCCCATTGCTGGCCCAGGAGGGAGCAGCCCCTCGTTCAATGAGGAAAACAGGACCACCATGGATAGATATTACAGAATGCATTATAGGGATAAGTTGGGAAGAAAGATCCAGAAAGGAATGTTAGAGAAAGTCACTAGACAGCTCCAAGAACCACTGAGGGACAGGATAGAGTCTCTCAGGAACCTGGAGAGCCAGTGTCCCCAGCTGCCAGAGCAGGACCACCAAGAGCTGGTGGGAGAGTCTGTGGGAAGCTGTCACCTTGTGTTCAGACACTTCCTTACGTCCACAGCCAAGAATGTGGTGGTGGCCCATGCTGCTGTTAGGGAGCCAGGGGGAAGCAAGGCTGAGCCTGCCTGGCACCCCACACTTGCCCTTCTTCACGTCTATCCTGCAGACCTGTGAGGTGATGGAGGTTGCTTCCTCTGCTTCCCCCACTGGCACTTTCTGGGGGCAGGACTCTGGGAGGCAGAGCTGCAGCTTGACAAAGTTGATGGTAGAACAATCCCACTCAGTTCTCCTGGAAGAGCTTCCCAAATGGTGTGCTTGGGTGATAGTTACTTTAGGGATTTATGACATGGCCACATCACATGCACGTGACATTGTCTGGCAGAGTTGGAGGGATTTGGGGCTGATCAAGGAAAAAGATATGACCATGAGCAGTAGTAACACGCAATGGGCTTCATGGCATGGTTGCCCCCACAGGGGGAGACCCTCCAGAGATTGTAGTCAGGGGGTCCCTACTCAGAATGGGAGGGGTGCGAGGGAACTCTCGGTGCCAGGGGGTCAGGGAGGGGGCTCCCATGTCCCGGCACTGTTGCTCAGTAGCAGAACAGGAGTCTCTGGGTCAGAGGGCTGGGAAAAGCGGCAGTTAAAACTGCATGGTCCATCTCACCAATGGTAACAGCTGTCAAGTGAGGTTCCTGGAGGATGCAAAGCAACAAGGCTCTAAATGGCTAAAAGTTTGGACTATTTTTAAAATAATTGGATACATTAACGTGTATTCAGCAAGATTTTGAGCTGACAGGTCTCACCCTGCAATGAAGATGTGAACAACCTAGGGGCCAATACACAGAGGCCATCTTTGGCTTATTTATAATATAGATTTATGCCTTTGGCACATCTGTTTTTCTAGTTGATGAAACCCTAGGCCTTGAAATGCCACAACACAGTGTTTCCCTTATTTGGTCTAGAATAGTTCTCAAAAAGTGATTTACACCTTTGTTATTCTTAACTAGAGAATTACCTGGGTATATCACCATCTCTGAGGTAACAGTGTGGCTCTGCCACTAAATTGCTTGTGTCTGTTTGGTCCACTTTCACTCACCAGCCTTGTGGTACATGCTGACTGTGTGCCCGGTGGGTGTAGGAGGTCCAGGAAGGAGCAGAAGACCAAATACTGTCCCAGCCCTCAGAGAGAGGCACATAGTACTAGAATACTTGTCTAAGAGGGTATCTATAATAGTCAGGCGAGGTTTGAAGAAAGAGGGAGGGCGCTAGGAGGACACTGCAGGGAGATATGATTGGTGTGGGATGAGGGTTGGCTTCCCAGAGAGTGTGAGTGTGTAATTGGGAGTTTAAGACATGCCATTGCTGTGTGCAGAGAGGAGCAGCTCAGCAGGCTTTGGCCCCAGACTCATCACTGGGCCAGAGCTCCCCCATGTACAAAATTGAGAGCTGCTCTAGATCTGTGGTCTCCACCTTCCCCTGCCCACCCTGCCCCCTGGGTACCCTGCTCCCTGAGCTCCCTGACATCAGGGAAGGGGGCAGAGTCCTAATTCCCAGGCTGCCCATAGCAGCATACCCACCAGAAGCATGGGAGGGCAGCTGGCTGTCGGAGTGCTCACACTTAAGGAGGGCTGTGTAGATGCACCTTCCCTTGAATCTCTCCCATCATCCCCCCCCAACTTCCCACAGATGTCATCTGTGGGGGCGCACTCCACTGGATCGGCTGGTGCTTGAAGCCAGACATGATTTCCCCTGGTTAAGGCTGTCCAAGATGGAGAGGGTGGCCTTTTGGAATGGTAACCTTCTTATTATAGAGGCAGAGGGACTGTTTTTGCAGGATTATTTGTAAGCATTATTATAAAGTAGTTAATCCATCAATATTTGAGAAAGGAAGAAAGGAAAAGAGAGGAGAGGAGAGAGGGACAGAAGGGCACCATTTCTTACACTCACCCAGCAAAGGAAACCTTACTGTCCCATCTCACAGATGGGGAAACTGAGGTGAGCACATCGGAGTGTGGCAGAGCTGGGAGTGCAGGGCCGGGCCCCTGACTCATTGAAGAAGGGCCTTGAAAGAGCAGGCAAGGCTATTCCAGGCCTGAACCCATCTGCCTCCTGTCCCCACCCACCCCCTGGCCAGGTTGGCAGACCTCATGGAGCAGCATCAGGAAGAACTGGCCACCATCGAGGCTCTAGATGCAGGTGCTGTCTACACATTGGCTCTGAAGACCCATGTGGGCATGTCCATCCAGACCTTCCGCTACTTCGCTGGCTGGTGTGACAAAATTCAGGTAAGGCTGAGGCTCCTGCCCACCAAGTGAGTTCACATAAACAGGCTGGGCCCAGCAGGAAACTCTGAGGGCAGTGCGTTAGGCTGCATGCTGCATAACAAACGAGCACAGCTTCCTGGCTTAAAACAACCCCATTTATCAGCTCACATTTCTGCAGATGGGAAGTCCAGGCAGGCTGGGCTGGGTTCCATGCCAGGGTTTCACAAGGACAGTGTCAAGGTGTGCCCAGGCTGGGCTTTAGCTGGAGGCTTTGGGGAGACCCTGCCTGCAGGCCCATTCAGGTATTGGCAGAGATGCAGGACTGAAGCCCAGGTCCTTGCTGGCTGCTGGCCAGGGCTGCTCTCAGCTACTGCAGGCCTTGCTCTGGCCCTTGCCCCAGCCCTCCATCCCCTTGCCATTCTCAGGCTTGGCATTCCTCTGCCATGAACTGAAGAAAACTTTGCCTTTGTGGGGGCTCCTCAGGTGGTTCTGGGGACACCTGCATCATCTCCCCTTCCTAAGGTCAACTGTGCCATTCCACATCTTTGCAGGAGTAGCTCACCATCTCCCAGATCCCAGGGATCAGAGTGTGACCATGGGAGCCATTTTCAGAGATTTGCCCGCCATAGGCAGTGATGGGACACCTACCAGCGAGGGTTTTGTGGGGTCTCTGCCAGAACTGGGCTTCACGCCATCGGCTTCACGCCCTCTGTCCTCTCCATGGGGCTGAGGGGTGCAGGTGTGATGGAAGGCCCACCTTCTGCTCCTGCTGCTGCTGCGTCTCTGCTGGCTGGAGTTGCCCCCCCCCCGGGGCCTCCTGGGCTAGCACGGCCTCCAGAGGCAACGTGGCCCCCCACTCCCCGCTTCCTTGCCTCAGTGTCAAAGCCAGAGGTCTTACCTGTACCAGGACCAACTTCCCACCTGAAGGCTGTGCCAGGCCCAGTGCAGCAGGCACCTTGCGCCTGTTGGCTGCCCAGTCCACCTCTATCTGGAGTCTTCAGATGCCCCTGTCATACATAATCTGGAAGGTTTGGGTCTCTTACCTGTCTGGTTCATGGGGGCTTCAGGACACAGACAAGACTCTGTTTAATTCTGAGCTCCAGGCACAGTCTGGCTGCCCAGGGGGAACGGGTGAGGAAACAATGGAGCCCCCTCCCAAGTGACCCCCCCCCACTCCGTGCTTCTTCCAGGGCTCCACCATCCCTATCAACCACGCCAGACCGAACCGCAACCTGACCTTGACCAGGAAGGAGCCTATAGGGTGAGTCATAGCACAGGGCGAAGATTCACCACACACTGGGTGCTTTTCAATGCTGTATGTTGTACGGGCACTCATCCCCTTTCTGCATATCTATCCAATGTCTATCTGTTCACCAATTACTACAGGCCAGACACTTCAGGTGCTGGAGATACAGCAATAATCAGAACTGATGAAAATGCGTATCCTCAGGGGACTACATTCTAGCAAATAAAACAGCTTTGGCTTCCAAAGTACCTGCTCTGCGCCAGGCAGTTTTAATGACTTTACAAGTATGATTTTACTTAATCCCCTCAATAACCCTATAGCAGTCAGTCTCGTAGAGGGTGCACCTGAAAAATTTTATCTGAGAAGAGTGTAATGATGAATGTGTGCATAAAAACAGAACTACAGCACCAAGGAACAGGAAAAAAAAATAATAAATAGGCAAAGGATAGGAACCAGTGCTCCACAGGAGAAAGACAAGTGTCCGCTCCACACAGAACAGACTAGGGGCTGGGGAAATGATTTACACCCAGCAGTGAGGGGCCTCGCCTCACCATCAGATGGCCCAATGGCCTAGGGAGAGAGAAGCCCCCTCATGCTGCCTGGGGGCAGCGGAGGGGGTCCCCCCTTGTGAAAGGCAGCTTGGCAGTGACTGTTCAGTCCCCAAATGCACCCCTGCCACAAGGCACAGCTATGGCAACTCACTGACACCGGTGTGCCAGGAGACCAGCCCGAGAGTGCTCACAGCAGCTGTGCTGGGGCCCTGACCGCAGAACCCAGCACAGCCCCTGCTGAGCTCTGCAGCATCCTTACCAGGGCATGGAGTGCAGCTGTGCGAACGGGTGGGGCAGAGCTAGGGGGACCCCAGGGAACAGCTCCAAGAGAAACTTGCGTGAGGAAAGCACACTGAGGAATGTCCTCTAAAATCATCTAAAATGGGTCAGAGGCCCAGTGTGGTCAGCACCCAGCAGGCATTCCCACCTGCTCTGTGTCCCTTACGGTGTGGGGACATCGTGACCCACGAGCAGGGACCTCGCATCCCCATGCATGGTGGCCAGAGGCACTCCGTTTCCTGGAGAACGTGGGAGTGTTTCAGAAGGAGAATGGGTTCCAGTGTCATTTGGATCAGCAGAAATGAGCACAGATGAATGAACATGCCAGGTCCTGAAGGACGGGCCTGCTGGTAAGGGAGGCTCCTGTCGGGAGAGTGGCTGTGGACACAGTAAACCCTCTCCTGTAGCCCACAGAGAGGGGCAAGGCTGGGGGGAGATGGCACGGACTCAGGGCAGCGGTGCCCACCCAGCCTTTCCCCCAGAGGACACGAGATGGAGGGAGTGCTCCAGGACAGCTCCCCACAACAAAGAACTACCCAGCCAAGGCATCAGAGTGTGGAGTGAGAGTCCTGTAGGGCCAGAGTGCTGGGAGCCCCTTCCTATGAGAGGGGCTGGGCAGGGGGACCAGGGCCCAGATGAACACTGGCTGCCAGTCACATGAGTCTGTAGGGTCATTGATCATCCAGACGCCTCTCGGGGAGTCCGTCCTGTCAGACTGAGGAGGACACTGGTGCTGAGCCTCCCAGTGAGTTGGGGGAGTGGGGAGGTTTTCCCTATGTCGGCAGGTGTATGAGTCTGCTAGGGCCATCATAACAAAGTACCGAAACAGGAGGCTCAAACAGCACACATTTACTGTCTCGGCATTCTGGGGCTGGAAGTTCCAGATTCAGGTGTCAGAGAGTTGGTTTCTTCTGAGGGTGTGAAGGAGAATCTGCTCCAGGCCTCTCCCCTAGCTTCTGGGGGTTTACCGGCAATCATTGGTGTTTCTCGATCTCTGCCCTCATGTTCACATGGTGTCCTCCTTCTGTGTGTCTATGTCTTCACATGGCCCTGTTTTTATAAAGGCATCAGTCGTTTTGGGTTAGGCACCCACCCTGTTCCAGTAAGGCCTCATCTAAACTAATTAATCTGGAATGACCCTAATTCCAAATAAGGATGTTCTGGAGTTAGGATTTCAACACGTGAATTTTGGGGAGTACAGATAAGCCATGACAGTGGGACTTCCCTGATGTCTTTTTTTCTTGGAGCCCTTACAACCCTGATGACCTCACCCCCTTCCCTGAAAACACTCACTGTGCTCCCTCAGCCGTCTCAGCCTGCTGAGTGTACTGGGGGTGGGAGCGGCTTTCCTAACCCCTCAGTGCACCCCATTGCTCCCAGAATGATGTGCCAGCCACCCCCAGTTTGTCCTGCCCTCAGCCTTTGTCCACACTCTTCCCCCTGCCTGGGTTTAGCTAAGAAGTCATCTTTTTGGGAAACGTTCCCATGGTGATCATGATCATGAAAATGATGATGATGAAGAAAACAAGTCATGTAGCCTGTGCAAAGTTCTTGTGTGGACAGGCTCATTAATTGTCTGACACTGACGAAGATAGTGCACTGTATTTTACAGGAGTCAGGGGAAAGCAGGGCCACATGCCTACTAGGACCACATGTGTCATCATTAGGCCCCTCAGGACAGTGGGGAGGTCTCCCCTTGAGGGATACACTGCTCAGCACAGGCTTTCTCTGGGGCCGAGGGGCACACTGACACTGGGTACCATCTCTTAATGCAAAGTAGGCAAGCCTATCGGGCCTCCCAGGCTGACTGCTTCCTTCTCTCCATGGGACTGACCCCTGGCCTCATGCCTAGGAAGACCCTCACCTGCTTCCTCCTATCCCACCGTGTGATCCCAACCCTCTCCCATATGCTCTCAGACTGCCCGTGTGATCCTTGGCCTTCTCCCAGGCCCTGCCTGCTGTCACCTCCCCACTGCCTGGTGTCATGCCCTACTCAACTATCCCTATGCAGGTCTCAGAGCTCCCCTCAGAAACTTCCCGGCCATCATGCCCTGCTGGGAAGAGGGGCTACTGCCAGATTGAACATACTGCCCCATCAGGGACTTTTGGAAAGGCAGGCATGAGCTATCTCTCAGGGGACTTTTGGCTCCATATCAGGAAGCCCGGAGTGGAGTGGGGTAGAGTGGAGTGAGCAGAGTGGAACAGAGTGGAGTGTTGTGGAGTGGAGTGGAGTGGGGTGGAGTGGAGTGGAGTGGGGTGGAATGGAGTGGAGTGGAGTGAGCAGAGTAGAACAGAATGGAGTGTTGTGGATGGGGTGGAGTGGGATGGAGTGGAGTGAGCAGAGCGGAACAGGTGGAGTGTTGTGGAGTGGAGTGGAGTGGGGTGGAGTGGAGTGGAGTGAGCAGAGTAGAACAGAGTGGAGTGTTGTGGAGTGGAGTGTTGTGGAGTGGAGTGGAGTGAGCAGAGTAGAACAGAATGGAGTGTTGTGGAGTGGGGTGGAGTGGGATGGAGTGGAGTGAGCAGAGCGGAACAGGTGGAGTGTTGTGGAGTGGAGTGGAGTGGGGTGGAGTGGAGTGGAGTGAGCAGAGTGGAACAGAGTGGAGTGTTGTGGAGTGGAATGGGGTGGAGTGGAATGGAGTGAGCAGAGTAGAACAGAGTGGAGTGTTGTGGAGTGGAGTGGGGTGGAGTGGAGTGGAGTGAGAAGAGTAGAACAGAGTGGAGTGTTGTGGAGTGGAGTGGAGTGAGCAGAGTAGAACAGAATGGAGTGTTGTGGAGTGGGATGGAGTGGAGTGAGCAGAGTGGAACAGGTGGAGTGTTGTGGAGTGGAGTGGAGTGGAGCTGAGTGGGTGTCAGGCTTGGGAACGAGGACACCGTTGGCAGGTGCACTCTGGCCCCCAGGCTGTTTGGAGAGATGGAGTCCCCCTTCTTTTGTATGGCAGGGTCTGTGGCATTGTCATCCCTTGGAACTACCCCCTGATGATGCTCTCCTGGAAGACGGCTGCCTGCCTGGCTGCTGGGAACACAGTGGTGATCAAGCCTGCCCAGGTGGGTGTGGATGTGTTCCGGGCAGGGCCTGTGAGCTGTAAAGGGTATCAGTAAGCACCCTATAAAGGAGATGGGTGGCCCCTTGGCCCCTTTACCCACCCAGGACTGGTTTCTCCTCAAGGGAGGAGGGGTACTACTGATGAGGGCTGGCCTTCTGTGGGCCCTGTTCACAATGGCGGGGACAGCATGCAGCAGGGGCCGGTGGGGGCTGTAGGCAGGGTCTGTTCTTTCAGTGGTAGGGTGGCTGAGTCACGTTAGCTGACCCTGTACTTACAGCTGCTTGGTGAGCAGTCAGAGATTTCTCCACAGATGCCAGCATTCTGGGCTTGGGGGAGCAGAAACCCTGTTTGGTAACCCTTGTCCAGGCCTCATGCTCTGAGACTGAAGCCCAGTCCCTCATAGAGAAGCTACAGAGGTAGGATGTCGGGGTCACTCAGGCTGGAAGGGCCTGAGCAGGGTCCCCCAGGGATGAGGACACCCCCTGCATTAGCCTCAGCTTCTTGCTCTGTATAGTGGCAGTAGCAGCCCCTCCCCTGCCTCCCCCCGGGGTGTTAGGAACCGAAGGCAAGATGCTCCATCACGTGGCTCTGGACAGTGTGCCCAGGAGGTCTCTTGCTCCCCTGGCTGCTTTGGGGCAATTTGGCTCCCAAAGTATTATAATATAAAAACCAACCACAACAATAGTTGACATTTAGTATTCATCCTGAGTCAGGCACTCCTAAAGCATTTTAATACATAACAAATTAAACTAAAAATTTGCATATATTTGCTTATTGAGCATCACAACAACCCTCAGATGACCCATAACCTCCCCCGTTAGCATGGGGGTGCTGCGCACAGATCCAGGCGATTGTCTCTGGAAAAGCACCTGACAGGCCTGTGCCCTCCCAGGGCCAGCACCCCACAGATGTGGCGGCTCTGAGGGCTGGTGGTGGGTGGGGCACAATCCAACCTTTACAAGGAAAATTACCTGGGTCTGAAGAGGAATGGCTGCTGGCAGGTCAAGAGGAGAGGAATGGCCTCCAGCAGTGAGGCGGTAACCAGAATCTTGCACAGACCACTGCGTGCTTCCAGGCAGTCCTGGGACTCCGCACTCCCTGAGTGAAGGAGTTATGAACATTCAGGAAGGGGCCAGGCCTGGCCACACGGCTGGAGCCTGCCAGGAGAAGGCACTAGAAGGTACATGAAGTAGCAGGCCTTCCTCCCAGCTTTCCACTGGAGCTGTAGGGGAAGCTGGCTGGGTTGGCAATACCCGCTATGATGGGGCTTCCTCTGGAGGGTCTTCCTGCCATGACTGCTCCTCCCTGCTTGCTACCTAGGCTGCTGGGAGAGGAGGAAGAACCCCACTTCCCAATCCCTCCTGACCCAGTCTTCTTTCCTGCCTCCTCAGGTGACCCCACTCACAGCCTTGAAGTTTGCAGAGTTGACCTTGAAGGCTGGCATTCCCAAGGGTGTGGTCAATATCCTCCCAGGATCTGGTAAGGGATGGGGACATGGGCATCTGGGGGCGCCAGGGCTCCAGGCAGCTGGAGATGCATTTGGTCAGAACAGGGCTTGCTACATGATGTACTCTAGTGGGACAGAGCAACTGGGGGCAGAGTGATCCAATGGGAGTGGCCAGCCTGGTAGGGAGATGGCCCTCTCCCATGGTGGGAGAGACACACACCTGGAAGTGTTCTCTCTTTCAGATGCTTCCCATTTTCCCCAAAATGCTTTTCCATTTTTTTTTTTTGTATGTAGATATGTGCTCTGGAATAAATTACATAAGTTGGGAATTATCTGTCCTTGGAAGTTGGACAGGATTTATCTAGGCTTAGAGCATCTGGGGAGGTATTACATGAATTGCTTTTTTCGTTTCTTCTGTGATTAGTAGTCTAGTTTATTGGAAAAGTTGTCTCTTCTTGCACACATTTAAAATATATTGACATAGAGTTGTATTCATAATTTCTTATAAGTAATTCTTTTTTGATTCTCTATCCCCCTTATACTTTTCACTTTTTCTTTCTCTTTTAAAATTGATCAAATTTGTGAGAAGTGCTTGTTTGTCCCCATACTCTCCTCAAAAACAGAAATAAAAACAGCTCTCAAATTTCTTTACCCATTCCATTGCTGTTTTGTTTTTTTCCTCTGCTTTCATCATTATTTCCTTCTGTGTTCTCCTCTGTGGTTTTGGGTTTTTTTTTTTTTTTTTTGTAACTTTTTGAGTTGAAAGTTTAATTCATTTATTTTTGTTTTTTGTCATTTAAATAAGGAAAGCGTTCAAAGAGAGCTTTGGTTACACCTCATACCTTTTGATTGACATTTTCATTATTATAAATGCCCCTTTTTATTTTTCATAATAGTTTTTGTCTTATAGTCTACTTCATCTGATATTACCATAGATTTCATATGGTCTTTGTTTGCATGATATATATTTTTTCATCCTTTTACTTGCAACCTACTTATATCTGATGTCTCCTTGGACAGCAGGTACTTGGATCTTGTTTTGATCCAGTGTGACAGTCTCTGCCTTTCTGAATGGATTGTTTAATCCATTCACATTTACTGTTATTATTGATAGAGTTGGATTTATGTCTGCAATTTTACTTTTTGCTTTCTGTGTCTCCTGTCTTTTGTTTCTATTTCTCTTTTATGGTTTTCTTTACATTGAGTGAATATTTTCTAGTGTAACATTTTAATTCTTTTAACGATTTTTTTCACTATATAGTTTTTAGTTATTTTCCCAGTGGTTACTCTAGGATTTACCATATGCTTCTTTTTTTTTAATTTTTTTAATTTTTTAATTTTATTATATTATGTTAGTCACCATACAATACATCATTAGTTTTTGATGTAGTGATCCACAATCCATTGTTTTCATATAACAACCAGTGCTCCATGCAGTACGTGCCCTCCTTAATACCCATCACCGGGCTAACCAATCCCCCCACCCTCCCCTCTAGAACCCTGTTTGTTTCTCAGGTCCATAGTCTTTCATGGTTCATCTTACCATATGCTTCTTAACTCATCAGAAAATACCTCAGATTTATGCTAACTTAATTCCAGTGAAATATACAAATGCTATTCCTACCTGGCTCTGTTATCCCTACTCCCTTTCACATATTTTTCACATATTTCTGTGTACTCTTCACTATGTTACAAACTCAATAGTACATTGCTATAACTTTATATAATTTTATGTCTGTGGAAGAAGTTAAAAAGGAGAACAAATATGTAATTACAGAGTTTGCTATACTAACCTTATTTACATTTCTGGTTCTCTTCATTTGTTTCTGTTGTTGAATTACTCTGTTATCACTTTCTTACTGCATTTCCTTCCTACCTTCTTTCTGCTATTATTGTCAAATATATTTCATTTGTAGTTGTTATAAATCCAACAATACAATTATTTACATATTATTTTATATAATTGCTTTTTAAATCAGTTAAGAAAGGAAAGGAAATATTCATTTAAGCTTTCTTTTGTAATTATATAATTACCTTTACTGGTGCTGTCTGGTGGATTCAAATTATTGCCTATGTCATTTGCTTTCAGCTTGAAGAACTTCCTTCATATATTTCTCTTAAGGTGGGTCTGCTAGCAATAAATTATCTAAGTTTTTGTTTATCTGGAAATGTCTTTATTTTTTGAAAGATAACTTTGCTGAATATAAGATTCTTGGTTGACAGTTTTGTTCTTTCAGCATTTCAAATGTATCATCTCACTCCCTTCTGCCTCTATTGTTCCTGAGAGGTCAGCTATTAATCTTATTGGGGTTCCTTTATATACAATGAGTCATTTTTCTCTTACGGCTTCCAAAATTTTCTTTTGTATTTGTTTTTCACCATTTTTACTAAGATGCCTTTGGGAGTGGATCTCCTTAGGGTTATTTTACATGGAATTCATTGAATTTCATGGATTTTTAGACTAATGTTTTTCATCAAATTTGGGAAGTTTCAGCCATTATTTATGCTAACATTTTTCTCTGCTCCTTTCTTTTTCTCCTCTCCTTCTGGTACTCCCATTATACATATGTTAGTATGTTTAATGGGAACCTACTCTCCTCTGAGGCCCTTTTCATTAATTTTTTTTCCTCTCTCTGTTCTTTAGATTGCATAATCTCTAACTATCCTCAAGTTCATGGATTCTTTCTTCTGCCAGTTCAAACCTACTATTGAGCCACTCAATTTCTTATTTCAGTTACTGTACTTTTTAGTTCCAGAATTCCTACCTGTTTTTTTTTTATTTATTGCTTATTGTCTACTTGATGAGACATTGTCATCATAGCTTCCTTTATGCATGGTTTCCTTTAGTTTGTTGAACATATTCATAATGGCTGCTTAGAAGTCTTTGTTAAGTATAACATCTGGGCCCTCTCAGCTTATATTGCCTGCTTCTTTTTTTTTTCTTGTGATGGGTTACACTTTTCTATTTCTTTGCATGCATCATAGCTTTCTTTGTTAAAAGCTAGATAAGTTAGGCAATATATTGTACCAACTCTGGATACTGATCTTCGTCTTCCCTTTCCAAAGCTTGTTTTCATTATTTGCTTGTTTATGTCTTTATTGACTTGGCTAGGCTATAAAGTGAAGTCTGTTTTCCCTGTGGTGTATAGCCAGTGATGTCACTCAGGGAGCACAGCCTTGAGCACAAGATGACAGCAGTTTTAGTGGGGCTCTCTTTGACTCTCTTTTTCCCTGGTTTCCCTGTTAAGCTATCTGCCTCCTTTGGTATCACACTCAACAGTTCAGTTCCACTAACTACAATCTGCTTGTTCTATTGTTTTCAACAATGCCCTGGGTCATAAATTGCTCTACAATCTGATCCAATTAAATTTGGGCCCCTTTGCAGGGGTAATTTTTGAGGACATCCTTTGAGGTTTGTTCTTACCCAGAGAGCTCTTCCCTGGTTCTCTCTGGTAAACTAACTGACCTGCAGTTTACCTCATTGCTGTCATAAAGCTGTCAGCCTTCCCTAATTGCTCACCCCCAAAATCTCCATTGTTTTTCAGAATGCCCTTAGAATTGAACTTTCCCACAGTTTCAAATAAAGTCAATATCTCTGTTCTTATAGAAAGCTTCTCCCCCTGCCCCAAATCACAGAACCACTGCATCAGGTGTTGGGCCCTGTAAGGAAGCTGGGGCTAGGTGGATTAGGTCCCAGTAGTCTCAACCTGCCACACCCAGGTTAGAGCCTTCACTTTCTGAATGGGGACTGGGTGGAAGCCATACTCACCAGGAATTTAGCCTCTAAAACTCAGAGTTGGAGGAGATGAAAAAGATGTCATATCCCTGGACTGGGAGCTTGAGGAGAGGAACCATACCTTCCTGACCACCCCTACCTGGGGTGGAGTTTCCATTAATTGGAGGGAGAGGGGAGATGTGGAGGGAGAGAATTGTTCATGGCTCAAGTACCACAGACTCTCATTGTTCTGCCTGAAAGTTACTAGATTTACTTGAATAAATGTTTCTTTTCTTGCTATATGGAAATTTAGGAAAATTTCCATAGACTTTAAATGTTTTCTTTTAATGATTTTCACCAATTATACTTATTTCCCTGGGAATTGTCAACAAGGCTCCTCATGTTAGCCTTCAGAAGTGACTCCAACCTCATACCTTTTGAGTTTATTGTGTTCATATTTTTATTATTCATTTCTTAAGCTGACATTTTTATTTTATTTTAAAAAAATTTTTTATTAAGTTCAGTGATTCATTAGTTGCATAACACCCAGTGCTCATCACATCACATGCCCTCCTTAATACCCATCACCCGGCTACTCCATCCCCCCACTTCATCCCTTCTATAACCCCCAGTTTGTTTCCCAGAGCCGAGTCTCTCATGGTTCGTCTCCCTCTCTGATTTCTTCCCATTCAGTTTTCCTCCCTCCCCCTATGGTCCTCCATGCTATTCCTTATGTTCCACATATGAGTTTTCACTGTATGATAATTGTCTTTCTCTGCTTAACTTCTGTCACTTAGCATAATCCCCTCCAGTTCCAACCATGTCTATGCAAATGGTGGGTATTCATCCTTTCTGATGGCTGAGTAATATTCCATTGTATATATGAGCCACATATTCTTTATCCATTCATCTGTTGAAGGACATCTTGGCTCCTTCCACAGGTTGGCTTTTGGGACATTGCTGCTGTGAACATTGGGGTGCATATGCCCCTTCTTTTCACTACTTCTGTATCTTTGGGGTAAATACCCAGTAGTGCAATTGCTGGGTCATAGGGTACCTCTAATTTTAATGTCTTGAGGAACCTCCATATTGTTTTCCAGAGTGTCCATACCAGCTTGCATTCCCACCAACAGTGTAAGAGGGTTCCCCTTTCTCCACATCCTCACCAACATTTGTTGTTTCCTACCCTCTTAACTTTAGCCATTTTAACTGGTGTAAGGTGGTATCTCATTGTGGTTTTGATTTGTATTTCCCTGATAGCTAGTGATGATGAACATTTTTTCATGTGTCTGTTAGCCATTGTATGTCTTCTTTGGAGAAGTGTCTGTCTGTTCATGTCTTCTGCCCATTTCTTGACTGGATTATTTGTGTTCTGCCTTTTCATTTCCAGAGCCACTTTCAGAGAGGGATGTCCCTCCCTAGAGCAGATTTCTAAGGGTTCCGATTCTGTGCTCTGGTGTTATATCACTTTCCAGGTGCCAGCTTATGGAGCCTCCCTCCCCCTTCTGTTTATCTCTCTATATCTCCCCACAGATTCACGACTGCACTTCCTACCTTGCAAAAAGCAGTGCTTTTCTGCTTGTAGAGATCCAGATATATACTCTTACATCTCAGACTGATTTCATGGGGGCTCAGAATGGTTTGGTAGATATCAAGCTAAATTCAGGGGACTGGTTGAAACAGGGTCCCCTACTCCTCTGCCATCTTGCCTCCTCTATTTTTATTATTCTTAAATAACATGCAACTGTAGTTTTGATATCTTCTCTGACCCAGTAAGTAAGAAGACTAAAAAACTCACCAAGTTTTTTTTTCTAAAATTCTGTTCTTATATTTCTAGTTTTATTATGTCATGATTAGAGAATATGGCTTGTGTGTGTGTTTGTTAGTGCTGCGATAACAAAGTACCACAAACTAGATAGCAAATAAAGTCACATTCTGAGGTACTAGAGGTTAGGATATCAACATATGAATGGGGGAAGACACAATTTAACCCATAATAGCTTGTAAACATTCTTCTTTCTAAAATGGAGAACTTCATGGGGTGCCTAGGTGGCTCAGTCATTAAGCATCTACCTTCAGCTCAGGTCATGATCCCAGGGTTCTGGGATTGAGCCCCGCATCAGGCTCCCTCTTGTGTTCCACCTGCTTGTGTTCCCTCTCTCACTGTGTCTCTCTGTAAAATAAATAAAATCTTTAAAAGAAATAAATAAATAAAAATAAAATTGAGAACTTCTGGGGCACCTGGCCAGGTCAGTCAGTGGAGCATGCAACTCGTGATCTCAGGATTGTGAGTTCTAGCCCCACATTGGGTGTAGAGAGTACTTAAAAACAAAACCTTTAAAATGGAGAGTTTCTTTGTAATCTGATATGTGATACCTTCTTATAAATATTAGTATTATTAAATACACTTTATTTTTCAGACCAGTTTAAGGTTCACAGAAAAATTGAGTGGAAAGTGTAGAGAATTCCCATATACCCTACATCCCCATATACTCACACCTCCTTCACTACCAACATCCTACGCCAGAGTGGTCGGTTTGTTACAACTGACAAACTTACACTGACACATCAGTATCACTCAAAGTCCATGGTTTTCATTAGGATTCACTCTTGGTGTTGTACATTATATGACTAATGTATAATGACATGCCTCCACCATTGTGGTATCATATAGAATAGTGTCACTGCCCTAAAACTTCCCTGTGCTCCACCTACTCATCCCTCCCTCCCTCCAATCCCTGGCAGCCACCAATCTTTTACTGTCTCCATAGTTTTGCCTTTTCCATAATGTCATATAGTTGGGCTCACACAGTATATAGTCTTTTCAGATTGGCTTCTTTCACTTAGTAATATGCATTTAAATTTCTTCCACATCTTTTTATGGCTTGATAGCTCATTTCTTTTCAATGCTGAATAATACTCCACAGGTTACTTATCTGTTCACCTAGTGAAGGACATCTCAGTTGCTTCCATGTTTTGGCAGCTATGAATAAAGCTACTAATAACATCTATGTGCAGTGTTTTATGTAGACAAGTTTTCAACTCATTTGGTAAATACCAAGGAGTGTGATGGATGGATCTTACGGTAAGGTTATGTTTGCTTTTGTAAGAAATGGCCAAACTGTCTTCCAAAGCAGTTGTACCATTTTGCATTCCCACCAACCATGAACAAGAATTCCTGTTGCTCCATATCCTCTCTAGCATTTGATGTTGTCAGCATTTTGGACTTTGGCCATTTTAGTAAGTGTGTTGTGGTTGTTTTCATTTGCAATCTCTAATGATATATGTTGAGCATCTTTACATATACTCATTTGCCATCAGTATATCTTCTTTGATGAGGTGTGTGTACAGATATTTTCCCCATTTTTTAATTGGGTTGTTTATTTTCTTATTGTTGAGCTCTTTGTATATTTTGGATAACAATCCTTTATCAGATATATCTTTTGCAAATATTTCTTTCCCAAACAGTTTTCTTTTTAACAAGAATGGTGGAATGGAATTAGTATCAAAATCATTTATAGAGCTGTGGCATCTGGGTGGCTCAGTCAGTTGAGCGTCTGACTCTTGGTTTCGGCTCAGGTCATGATCTCATGTGTTGTGGGATGGAGCCCTGTGTCGGGCTCTGCACTCAGTGGGGAGCCTGCTTGAAGATTCTCTCCCTCTGCCCCTTCTCACACTCACGCTTTCTCTTTCTCTCTCTCTCTAAAATGAATAAGTAAATCTTTAAAAAATCACTTATAGAGCTTTAACTATATTTAGAGCTTTAACAATATATAGAACTTTAACTATATAGAGAGGATGCAAGTATCCCACTCCAAAACTACTAACCAGAATCTTCACAGGTGCACCTGAGCACATGCAGTTTTATGAGCTCGGAGGCAGGGGAGCAGTGGAAATGGAGGGACTGGGTGGGTGGAGGAGCCCAGGACTGGGCAATTGATAAGGTGGGGAAGAGAAGTGTCAGGACTGACTCCCAGGTTCTTAGCTTCAACAACTGATTGCAAGGAGAGGCTGTTTGCTGAAATGGAGAACCTGGAGGAGAAGTACATCAGGGGAAAGATTAAGAGCTTGGTTTCAAATATGTTGAATTTGAGAGGCTGTTAGATATCCAAGTGGAAATCCCAAACAGTCAGAGGAATCACAAATGGATCCAGATCCAGACGGACTTAGAGGATGATGTGTCTGGAGATGGCATTTGAAGAGGTGTGCCAGGGTGAGATCAGCTGAGGAGACAGTGTGTGTTGAAGAAAGGAGAAGATAGCCTCATTTTAACTTAATCACTTCTTTAAAGACCCTGTCTCCAAATACAGTCAGATCTGAGGTACTGGGGGTTAGGACTTCAACATAATGAATTTTGAGAGGACACAATTCTGCCTGTGGCAGGCAATGAAGCCCAGTGAGCCCTGGGCACTGAGGGCACTAAGCACTTGGGGTGCACAGCCCAGAGTTCTAGCCTCAAGATGGACATGTGGAGAGTGGTGGAGCTTGTATCTCCCCTTCAGCACCTGGCAGCCGCCCTGACCCCCTTGCCCACTCTTACCTACAGGTTCTCTAGTTGGCCAGAGACTCTCAGACCATCCCGATGTACGGAAAATTGGGTTCACAGGTTCCACAGAGGTGGGAAAACACATCATGAAGAGGTAGGTGGTTGAGGCTACCTCTGGTCACAGTGTTGGGATGTGGACAGTGCTGTGTGTGAACTTGATGCAGGTTCTGACTCTGTGTCTGGGTTTCTGACAAGCCCTTGGTGGGTCTGGTGCAGCTGCTCTGTGGAGCATACTCAGACCAGGGGGCTGCTGAAGACAATGTGATTTGGGGCCATGAGCACAAGTGGGACAGAGCTGCTCTGAATTGAGATGTGCTTCAAGTATAAAAGGTCCACTGGATTTTGAAAACTTAGTACACAAAGTGGCTCGTTAATAACTTCTTATATTAGGGCACTTGGGTGGCTCAGTCGTTAAGCATCTGTGTTCAGCTCAGGTCATGATCCCAGGGTCCTGGGATCGAGCCCCGCATCAGGCTCCCTGCTCTTCAGGAAGTCTGCTTCTCCCTCTCCCACTCCCCCTGCTTGTGTTCCCTTTCTCGCTGTGTCTATCTGTCAAATAAATAAAATCTTAAAAAAAAAACCAAACATATTGATTGCAAGTTGAAATAGTACTTTTTATTAATTGGGTTAAATAAAATATATTAGAATTAATTTCATTGGTTTCTTTTTCGTTTTCCCTTAAAACTGGGGCGCCTGGGTGGCTCAGTTGGTTAAGCGACTGCCTTCAGCTCAGGTCATGATCCTGGAGTCCCGGGATCGAGTCCCGCATTGGGCTCCCTGCTCGGCAGGGAGTCTGCTTCTCCCTCTGACCCTCCTCCCTCTCATGCTCTCTGTCTCTCATTCTCTCTCTCTCAAATAAAAAAAAAAAAAAAGAAAATCGTTTTCCCTTAAAACTAAAAGAAATTTAACTTAGTTTTTTAGTGGCTACTAAAGAACTGCCATTACATACGTGGCTGGTATTTGAGGCATTTTTTCTAGTCTATTGGACAGCCCCGTTCTAGAACATCCTCTCATATTCAGTGGACTTGCCTCAAGCAGCTGGGGTTGTGTTTCTTTCTCTGTCACTAATTCATGATATGACTGGGGCCAAGCCTGACCCTTCCAGGCCTCAGTTTCCCCATCAGTTCAGCAAAGGTAGTTTGCATGCTCCATGGCGCTGGTCTATGTAGCTGATGAGCTTGGAGAGGGCTGGACCACAACACAGTACCTTGTAGCCCTGGCTTCCCCAAGACAACCATGGGATGCCTGAGCCCCACCCCACTGAAGCTGGATTCTGGAGGTGGGTTTCAGGCATCTATAGGTGAGTGAAAGGTACAAATAGAGAGGAGCTGGGGCTTCTGTTGGGCATATTAACACCTTTCTCTGAGGTCATGTGACCACCCTCATCTGTCTCTTGTTGTAAGACTCATGCATGGGAACTCCCGGGGCAGTCCAGCTATGACATGACAATTCCATGGGGAGAAAGATTTCTCTTGTGTTAAAACAGCATCTCATTGTAGCCCCCAATGCAGAGCAGTGTTTTTTCTCCCTGGGACTCTTCTTCAGCCTCTGACCCTGCTCTCCATGGGCCCCTCTGTGTGCCACAAGATGGGATTCTCACCCCTTGGCCCCACGACCCCTCTGTGAGCTGGGGTGCAATCTGGCCCTGCCCCCTTACTTGAGTGGCACCCTGCTTGATCACAGCAGCTTTACATGAGATCCTCTTCTGGGTCAGGAGCCACAGCCAGTGTGGCTCAGGGAGCATGTCTTTAGGGTCGGTAGGGGCTGATGTCACAGCCTGTGAGCGGGCCTGGTGGAGCTGTTCTGATTCATTTTGAGTGTAGGAGAACGAGCCTGAGCATTGAAGAGAGGGAAGCTGGCGGTGGTGCAGGACTGACGGACAGAGGGCAGATGGATGGATGAGAGAGTTGGAGGGGTGGCTGCAAGTAGTCACAGCAGCTTATTTACCTGTCCTTACTCAAAAGCTAGCTAGTGTCTCCTGTGCTGTACAGGCGATAGTCATATGTGAGCACATGTGTGCTAAGGCCAGAGGGAGGGCTCAGTAAATATCAGCTCTGAGGAGTCCAGGGCAGGAGGGCTTGGGTAGGTATCCTGTGGCTCTGGGACTGCCATCTTCTGGGGGCTTTCCAAAACCCCTGTGGCTGGTGCCTGAGATGGAAGCCCTCTTCCTGGGTCAGTCCTGAGTGAGGAGACCCCCCACTCCCACCCTGTGCCATGCCTGTGTTTCACTGGTCCAACCCTTTAATGTCCCTTGAGAGGACAGTATCAGTAAGCCCACTTTATGCCCACCGATGCAGCGTGCACAGGATCCCCAGCTTCTCTCTGCACCTGTCAGTAAAAATCTGAGGTGCCAGAGTCCCTGTGGCAGTGCAGCTGCCCCAACTGGGGAATGGTTCTGTGTTTGGTTTATTCATTGGATATTTACCAAACACAGCTGCATGACCAGACGAATGCCCACCTGCCCCACTGGGGCTTATGTTTTGATGGGCAGGGTTGGAAACAAATACAATGTGCAGCAAAACACAGCAGGGGCGGAGCACAAGAGCATGCTATTTATAGGGAGCAGTCGGGTCAGGTACCCCAACCAGGGGATAGAGCAGAGGCCAGAAGGAAGTGAGGAACAAGTTTTGAGGATATCTGAAGGAAGAGTGATCCAGAGAGGGCTGTGACAGCAAAGGCCTGTGGTGGGTGTGGGCCTGGGTGTGGAAGAGGAGGAAGAGGTGTGGCAAGGGGAGGGAGGTGGGGAGAGCTGATGAGCATGGGAGTGGGGAGAAGCTCCTTCTGACCCCCTGCTTGCTCTTTGAGTAAAGCATGCTTTGGAGCTTCCCACCTGGAGCCCCTGTGTCTCAGTCTCCCAAGGACCCAGCCCTACCAACCTCTGTCCCTTTCAGTTGTGCCCTGAGTAACGTGAAGAAGGTGTCCCTGGAGCTGGGAGGGAAGTCGCCCCTCATCATCTTTGCTGACTGTGACCTCAGCAAGGCTGTGCAGATGGTAAGGGCCTGCCTTGTGGGGTGGAGGTGGGGCACTTATCTCTGATTCTACAGTCAAACTCACACATTGGGCCTAGACTGGCAGGAAGGGGCCTAGGGGACGGATGACATATGCCTTCTAGAAAACAAACTTCCCAAGAAGTTTCATTATTGTCAAGATTACTGAGATCAACTTCACAGGATGGGAAATGTAAGCCACGGTTCCATCTGTTCTGAAATCAGCATGACTTTTCCTTTTTGCCATGTCCACTTGCCCAGCTCCACCGCTGACCCACTGGGCAGCCTCAGGCAAGTTACTCAACGTTTCTGGGCCTCCTGTTCTCACCTATACCCTAAGGTATACTTACTTAAGTATATATTATACTTAAGTATATATATTACTTAAGGTATAACCTACTCCTTTGGTTGTTACAGGGATTCAACAAGCTATTAAGTCTGAAGGGCTTAGAAGATGTGGCAGGTGCTGTGTGTCAGGGGTTCTTATGCTTGTATTATCATTGCCATTGTTATGCTTCGGTCCCCCTCTCCACACCTGTGGGAGCAAGCCAGTTCAACCAGGTGTCCAAGTATGCCCCATTCTGTCTAAGTCTCACTGTGCCTTGGAGGACAATGTGATGCCCAGCATGGGCACGAAGGGGAGTGAAGCCTCAGATAGGGAAACTGAGGGAGGCAAGTCCAACAGCCCAAGGGTCTTGGCCCCAGTGCCAAGGCCACTGCTGCAGGGCCAGAGGCCCAGGCCATGTCATTGGGCAATGCAATCCCAGCTGCCAGGAGAGCCAAGCTCTCCCTCCTCCCTTGGCCCCCCACATAGGGCTTCCAGGTCCAAAATGCAGGCTCCCTTGAGCCTCTGAGGACATTTATTCTGGAATCCTGCGAGGAGTTCTCTCAGGCCTGGGCTGCCACCCAGTCTCTCCCAAGACAGGGGGGTGCCTGCCTGCCTTTGCCTTCCATCTGCTGCCTGCCCCAAGCTAACAGACTCTCCAGGCTCAGCCCCAGGAGTGTGGACTCTGACCCCTCCTGCGTCACCCCAGGGAGCACACCGGCATACAGGGTCTCCAGGTTCACTCCACTCCTCTCCACTCCCTCTTGTTCTCCACTCTCTGTAATGTGGACACAGGTGTCTCCCCAGGGGATGGGACTCAGCTCTCCTCTTGAGGTGACTGAAGAATGAGTAGAGCCTGTATGTCCATTGCTGGCTGGGCCTGGCCCACCATCCCATTGGAGGTCAGGACACACACATTCCTCCCCTTCCCTATAAGAAGGGGGTACATGGGCCTGGTGGGGTGTGGGGGGCTGGCACCCTGGGAGCAGTTGTAAGCCAGCATCCTTATCCATTCTCCAAAGGGGATGAGCTCCGTCTTCTTCAACAAAGGGGAAAACTGCATTGCCGCGGGACGACTTTTTGTAGAGGACTCGATCCACGACCAGTTTGTACAGAAGGTGGTAAGTTCTGCTGCGGAGTCTTCACTGAGACAGCCACCTGTGCTGCAGGGGGTAGGGGGCAGGGAGGCAAGGCTGGGCCAGGTGGAGTCAGGCACTGTCCATCTGAGTCAGGAAACCCTCACACAAAGCTGTATCCTTTTTCACGTGTTTTCATTATTTCAGCAAGAAATAGTAACTCTGCAGCTCAGACTGACATAACCAGAAAGGGCCTGTCCTAGGTCAGCTCCCCAGCAGTGAAGCCTAAGCCAGGAATTCAGGTGCATGTGGCTCACTATTGGCGAGCTGTCAGGTGAAGCCTGGGAGGTGAGAGGGACCAGGAGAGGACAGGGACAGGACATGTTCTCAAGTGATATCCAGCCCTAGCCTGACCCACAGATAGGAGCTCTGGAGCACGAATGATACCTCTTAGGTGTACCCCTGGGGTCCAGGGGCCAGGCTTTTGTCCCCTGTCAACAGTTGTTGGCTGTGAGTGTTCATGGGCTAAAGGAGGTCTCCCTGGGACCTGGGATCATCAGCAGCCACCTCTCTTGGCTGCTGCAGGGTGGGTACTCACAGGTAAAGAGGATGGGGTGTGGTACTCACAGCATCTCCTACATTCTTACAACATAGAACCAGAAAGGAAGTCACTCTGTCCCCACTGATTCTGTTGGAAAAGGTTGTGGGGAAGGATGCTGGTTGGTGTGACTGGGTCCCAGGTCTATCGCTGGTCCATTCAGTGATTGCAGGGCCTACAGAGCTCTGGTTGGCTCAGCTTCAGCCAAAAGCCCTTCCTCACATCCTGGAGAGCAGAGTCTGATCCCAGCGGATATGAGAGGGGATGCTGGAACACAGCCCCTATGTGCAGGTTTTAAAAACTATATTTAGGAAGCCAGGAAAAAAGAGAAAGCAGGACTGGTACAAGGCGAGGCAGCTGTTAGGAAGGAGTTCTGGAGAGGGTTTTGGATAACGGGTAAAAATATGAAAGGCAGTGAGGAAACAGGATTTCTAGAAGGGAGTGTAACAGCTTTTGCCACATAACAAGCTACTCCCAAAACTTAGTGGCTTGGGATAACAGCAGTTCATGCAGTCACAGCCCTGTGGGTTGGCACTGTGGGCACCAGCCCAGGTCCACCAGAGCTTGCTTGTACATCTGCGGTCAGCGGGGGCACTTGGTGGCTGTGTTGGGATGGCTTATCTTTGTACCTGGGGTCCTTCATCCTGCAGCATGTGCTCAGACACATGCAGGGCCAATGGTAGGACTCCTAAGAGTGAGAATAGGAGTGTAGAGGCCTCTTGGGGAGTGTAGAGGCTTCGTGGGACCCCTAAAGTTTGCTTCTGCCACATTCTGCCAAGTCACAAGCCAGCTCAGATTCAAGGGGTGGGAAACCAACCCTATCCTGATGAGAAATGAATACAATACATAACCCACTGTAGTTTGGGAGCTGGGCAGCCTAGCTGAGTGAGTCCATCACTGCTATAGGCCCAGCACAGGACTGGCTGAACCTGGGGCATGGATGGGGAGTCACGATGGAGGGCCCATGAGGGGGCAGCTCACTGAGTGGATGTAGTTGCAGGGAACATAGCTGGGCAAGCCCCAGGCCCCTCCAGGAGTCTGCAAGGGAGTCGTCAAACCCCCACAGGGTGAGGGCAGGGGTCAGAATCCCAGGAGAATCCCAGAATCCCAGGAGAACTGTCAGGCTAGTTTCAGCTCCCAAATATAGGAAGCAAGAGGCACATCCAGGACACTCAGCATTATTACTCTTGGCATCCTAGGGATGGAGTTGGGGGTGGGGGGTAGTTGGTGGCCAAGTGGGAGCAGAGAAGGGGAGCAAGGCAGGGGATGGGGACTCCCTTCAGCACAGAAGAGCTAAGGGGTCCTTGGTGAGAGGGCAGGGGTGGTCCTTGGGGGCTTGAGTGTCTTCTGATTAGGCCTGGCTGGGGGGTGTAGAGCCTGAATGGAGGGGTGAAGTAGCCCTGGCCTCGGAGGAGGAGGAGGAGGAGGAGAAGGCCAGTCAGGCCTGACCTTGATGCAGCCACAGTGAGGGTAGAGATGACCTTGTTTGGTCTTAAGAAACTGAGGAAAAACCTGGAGATATGTGACAATAACAGGAGGGGTGAACCCCAGCCAGGAGTCCAGAAAGTCTAATGTCTACCTCCCACTGGAGGTGGGACATGCCATATGAGTTCTTTTCCATAGCACAGCATCCCATATTCAGGGGCTTTTCTGACTCTCTGCATCCAACCCCAGAATCCATCAGATACCATGTAGCACATCTTTTGTGGAGACCCAAATCCAGGGCAAAGCCTAGACCTACTTTTAGGTTGGCTGAGGCAACAAGGAAGGCTTTCCAGAGGAGGGGGACTTGAAGCTGGGCTCTGAAGCAGGAAGAAGTAGAAGCAGGAGTGGGTGGACTCAAGGCCCAGGCCCCTCCACTCCACTTAGAGTCTATTCCTCTTGTCACCAGGGCATTGCAGCAAGACATGTGTTTACCTGCCCCACCCCCATTCCATATTCTGGAGGCCCCAGACAAGCATTCTCTCAGCTTCTCAGCCTATGAAGCTGGGTGCGGGACCACTGTAGGGACACACTTTTTGCTGGCCCATGTCTGGCCCTCACCCTGTCCCTGGACACCTCCGTTTTCTCAGCCTGTCTGATGCTAGGCTTGGGTCTCCTTGCACATTGGATACGTTTGGGGTCTCAGCCTGGGAGGCGGGTTTGGAACCAGAATAGAGACCATCCTGAGGACATGTGGACTTTCTTCACAGCCCAGTGGCTGGTCACCGAACATGCAAACACGTTAGGCAGGTCAGGCTGGGAGTATCGTCAGAAACCATGGTACCTGAGCAGAACCTGACTGGGAGGACTCTCCACAGGTAGAAGAGGTGAGGAAGATGAAGATCGGCAACCCTCTAGACCGGGACACCAACCATGGGCCACAGAACCACCAAGCCCACCTGCAGAAGCTGTTGGAGTACTGCCAGTGCGGCGTGGAGGAAGGGGCCACGCTGGTCTGTGGTGGGAGTCAAGTAGCTCGGCCAGGTCAGTCAGAGCACTCGTGGCTCACCTCAGAGCACTCATGGCCCACTGGGCTGACCCGGAGGGCAGGCAGCATGGTCTCTGGTCTCCTGCCCCACTCTAACTGGAGGTATGTGAAGGCCACGGTTAGGCTCCCAGGCCTCAGGGCTCATCCGGGACATTGGCTGCGGTGGCCTTGGATATTTGGACCCCAGCCAGACCAGGTGTGGTACTGGCAAGGTGAAGACACCAGGGCTGAAATCCAGTCAGTGCTGGTTTAATGTGTATCATAGTGGACTTTGATTTGCCATAAACATCTCCGCATCCTTGAAGTTCTTTCCTCCCGTGGATTCCATGGCACTGGCTTTCATGGCTTTCTGTCTTTGGCATTACTTCTCAGCAGTCACTTTTCGCTGAACCTCCCTCTCCACCTGTGCCTTAAATGGAGGTATATCCCCAAGTCTCTCCTGAGCTTGGAGCGCTTCTCATGGCAGACCCTTTCCCTGGAGGATCTCATCCCCCGCAGTGGCTCACACCCTCCCAAGTATCTGTCTCTGGGCTCCTCCTCATCCAGAAATCCTGACCACCTAGACACCTCCACCCATATGTCCCCAGGCCCTTCAGACTGAATGGGTACCAAATCCATCACATCATCTGACTGTCCTGACCCAGACATACACTTGCCTCTCTAGAATCTTCCATTTGTTCAGGTCACTGGAGTCAGAGGAGCAGGGGCTGCAGCACGGACTGTTTGAGATGCTTCCTTGTGGGCACCACATGGGGACAGGCACCGTGTCTGTCTTCTACACCATTAGGTCCTTCACACCAGCACTGAGACTCAACCAAACCTGAGTTAATTTGATGGAAGGAAGGAAGGAAGGAAACAATGAATTCTAGACTCCTCTCTTTTCTTGACCGCCTACTTTAAATTAATTGCCCCATTCTCTTAAATTAAAAATCTGTCTTCCTCCCCTGCATCCCTACTGCCATACTGCTGACTTTGCAGCTCGTTTTGCCTGCGCCATCATATCTGCTTCCTGAGGAACCTTTTGTACCATGCTAACCCTTTACCTATGGTAGCTGCCAGAAGTCTGATTATGTCTCCCCCAACGTTGAAGCAACTTATACAGTGACCCATCCTCCTGCAGCAGCAAGCTCAAACTCCTTACTTCATACCCAGGGTCTTCCATGGTCCTAAGCTAACTGGCTTGCCCATGACCCATGCTCCAGCCACATTTTACTCTCTCTGAGTACATCTCACGCTTTCCTGCTCCCTGGGCTTCTGCTGCTCCTCTGATTAGCAAACACCTCCCCATTTCCTCAACTGACAAATTCATCAACGAGCTCAAATAACATCCAGGCCCAGACCCTAGGTGCTCCTGTGTCACAGACGCTCCCTGGCACCTCATACAGTGACAGTTTTATAGCCACTGATGGCCACTGATGGCTACCCCCTTCCTTGCCCTCAGTAGACTAGGGGCTCCATAAGGCCAGAGTTCAGGGTCTGATGGGAGGGAGTGAAGTGAAGGCATGGTTTGCAGAACAGTTAGGGTGGTGCAGCCCCCAGAAACCAGGATACTGGAGAGCCACTATCACCACCCCCTGGCCTGAGGGCTCAGAGGAGGGAGCAGAATTCCTAGAACCTGGTGAGGAGCAGAGCTGTAAGCTACAAATCCAACTGGACATCAGAGGATGAGGGAGGCTCATCTGGGAGGGGAAGAGTATAGAAAGAATAGAAAAGGGACAGAGCCCGGCCAGTGCAGAGCCTCCAGCACCTGGTGGGCAGCAGCTCGTTTGCAGACGGAGAGAATACAGGCCATACCACATGAGTCAACATGTGTTCATACCTAATGTAGCTTTTTAAAAACTGTAGTTAATGTTAAAATATAATTTATAAATGTATGAAAAGTATGGAATATTAAGTTGTCTTTAAAGTTAATTTTTTTTTAAAGATTTTATTTATTTATTTGTGAGAGAGAATGAGAGACAGAGAGCATGAGAGAGAGGAGGGTCAGAGGGAGAAGCAGACTCCCCGCTGAGCAGGGAGCCCGATGCGGGACTCGATCCTAGGACTCCAGGATCATGACCTGAGCCGAAGGCAGTTGCTTAACCGACTGAGCCACCCAGGCGCCCTAAAGTTAATTTTTTTTCCTAAAAACTGGAAAGAGAAAATTTCAAGTCTCTCAATTTTCCCTTAGTCAGGCTAAATTACATCTCAGTCCATTAAGGTCTCCAGGTCCCTGGGCTCTGTGTCTAGAGGAGAAATAGAGGAAGCATTTCTGCTGTCAGAGGTGGCTCCATCTACAACCAGGGCCTGTAGGGACAGCAGTCTGGATGGGAGGAGGTGGTGGCTTGTGTTGACAAGATAGCAGGAGGCTGTATCCTGGCTGAAAGTAGTCACCTTTGCACCTGGGGCATGTACCTGCACTGAGGGGCCAGGAATCAGGGAGACAGTCCTGAGAGGTCCTGTCCGTCAAAACCCATGTCCAAGGCTCCCCCACCCCCAGCTCAACCTACTCCACAGGGACTGATGGAGAGCCATCCGAGGGGCTGCACTAGGTAAAGAATCTCCACTGTATCACAGACCAACACTGAGCTGCTCATCTTCCTCAGCAGCATTTAGTTGAAAGGTTGTGAGGATCCTCCAAACTCATACACCTGGGGCAGGAAAGCCACCCACCGTCTGTAGCATCCACCACACAGGTGTCACAAACTGCAGAATGTGTGCATGGTGGCTGGTGGGGCCCAGGCCTGGCTGGGGAGAGGACCGCCCACCTGCACACCATGAACCTCTGTCTCCCCTGTAGGTTTCTTCTTCGAGCCGACTGTTTTCACGGACGTGGAGGACCACATGTTCATAGCCAAGGAGGAGTCCTTTGGGCCCATCATGATCATCTCTCGGTTTGCTGATGGGTAGGGAGTCATGCTTATATCTCTTGAGAGCCTGATCCTCTTCCATGCCTTACTGGGGTCTTCGCTTGAGCTTCATGGAGGGGAGTGCAGAAGGGGAATGCAGATGGGGTGGGGGCTGTGGATACAGCCTAGCTTCCTGCCAAGTCCTTCTCAACCACTGAAGGTAGGAGAGCCCTAGGGGACCTGCAAGGCTGGGTCCCACTGAGGGTGTCTTCCTTGTCTCTCTGATGCCTCTCATGGCATTCTGGGTTCTGTTCCTATCCACTGCTGCATAATAAACCACCCCAAACCTTGGTGGCTTAGAATAGCAAGTTACTTAATTCACTTGTGAGTCTTCAATTTGGTCAGGGTTCCATGGGGCTGGCCGCCTCTGCTCTGGGCCATGTCGGGACAGCTGCTCCCCAGCACCCAGCTCAAAGAGGCCAGGTGGAAGATGCAAGTCTCCTCAAGAACTATCATTTGGCCTCAGAAAGCCCAGAAGCTCACTTCCACCTGTCTTATTGGTCCAGCAAGTCACTGAGGCCAGACCTGGCTTAAAGGGAGAGGAAATGGGCTGGCCATAATTGCTCTACCACGGGCTCTTTTCCTGACTATTATTCTTCAGAGTAGCACCTTTGAGCAGATTACAGAATGGCATCTCATCCTCGATACCCTATATTTCCAACTATCAAAAAATTACCAAAATTTTCTTTACATGCTGGTTGTATTAGAATGAGATACTTTTCTCCCATCTACCAAGCATTATGGTCAGTCTTCAAGCCTGTGATGTCTGTGGATGCCCCCAGTGTAGCTGCCCAAGGAATGCCTTTCCATGTGTGGTGGATCCCCAGCCTGCCCCCCTCCCTGGGCTCCCATCCCCCTGTCTACACAGTGAGGGGCTCACCCATGATGACCAGAAGGGTCTGACTCTGCTCTACCTCCTCTCTGTCATTCTTTCCTCTTTGCTTGGCTGGCCTATCTCCTCCACACTTGCTGTAGGCCCGGCACGTTTGCTCAGAGGGTCCTATGTGGTGGGGAGCTTGCAGTGGGCCAGGCACCCCCCTTGGAAGAAGGGGTGCCCGTCTTTCTGTGTCCCATGTCCAGGTTGGCCCCATGGTCCTCCTCAGGGAGTTCTTCCTGGGTTTTCCCTGCAGTGACGTGGACACTGTGCTGTCTCGGGCCAATGCCACGGAGTTTGGCCTGGCTTCCGGCATCTTCACCAGGGACATCAACAAGGCCCTGTATGTCAGCGACAAGCTGGAGGCCGGCACCGTGTTTGTCAACACATACAACAAGACTGATGTGGCCGCTCCCTTTGGAGGGTTCAAGCAGTCCGGCTTTGGCAAAGACCTCGGTAATCTAATCCCGAACATATATTAAGGCCCCTTGGTGCCAGGCCCTGTCCTGGGGGCCAGGGGTATAGCATTGACAAGATGGCTCCCGGTGCTCACTTCTTACTGGGAGTGGACAGGGGATAATTAAGGCAGTAAGCAAGATCCAGCTGGGAAGTGAGGAATGGAGGAAGTGGACAAGACAGAGTGACCTGGCCAGGAAGACTGGGAGGGTCATTTTAGAGGGGACCAGGGTGGGCCTCTCCAAGGAGGTGGCGCCTGCACTGAGGTTCGAGTGGCTGGAGGAGGCGGTATAAAGACCTGAGGGTACGTGTTCCCAGCTGAGAGGACAGCAGGTCCTGAGAGAACCAGCTTCGGTCTTGGAGCTGCAGAGAGGGGCCTGAGTGCAGGGATGGGGAAGTCCAGAGGGGAGGAGGCTGGGGAGGCAGGCAGGGGGCCAGAGAGCAGGGCCCTGGGGGCAGCAGTCAGAGCTTCATCCACAGAAAGAGGGGAAACTGTGGAGGCCGAGTATGGAGGCCAGTGGGGCAGTGTGAGTCCCCAGTGTAGAGACAATGTCACCTGGGTGGGTAGCCAAACTCAAGCCCTGCCTGGCCTGCCAGGAGAAGTGGAGGTCTGGTCTGGCACTGGGCTATTGCATGATTTAGGATGAGCGCTGCTCTCCCCATCCTGCCACCATGGAATCCAGCAGTTGAGAACTGGCTCCAGTTGGGGATCCCAGCTCTGATGCCTAGCAGTGGTGGTGACAGGGAGGGCAGGGTCTGGGAGAGCAGCTGTTTCCAAGAGCCTCCATCCCTGAACCCAGCTCAGGATGCTCAAGGAGGTTTGAGCTGAAGCTTGACCATAGAGAGGCTGCTATCTCATTTTCTCCCCCCACTCCATCCCTCATACCCTGCAGAAAACCCCAAGGATGCTTGTGAAAGAAGCCCCAACAACACCCCCAAAGCCTGGCACTACACTGTGCACCCAGAGGTGGGACTCACACTCACACACACATGCACATACACAGTGTTGGACAGTCCTGCTCCCTTTGTCCCTGTCTGCCACCCCTTCTTGTTTCCTCCACTGGAATCTACAAGGGCCACTGTTATTCAGGAGGCTGTGGGTGCTGGGTCCCCAGGATCTGGTCTGTCACTTATGACCCTGGCCCTGAGCTGCTCCAGCTCATCCCCTCTGCTGCCCCCTCTTCCTGTGTCCTGTGCACATAAACCAGGCACCCCCAGTAACCCATCGGGGTTTGGCCCAGAGACCTCAGCAGGCCCCAGCTGGTGAAGCGTGGCTCCTGGGGCCAACCTTAGCGGGTGGGGGAGATGTCAGGCAACCACAGGCCCCACATACGGGTTGTGGGACCGAACACACCAGCTGCAGAACATAGCCAAATTCTGGGTGCCTCTGACTCCCTTTCCCAGGAACAGCATGACCTGGAATTAGTTGGGGGGGCAGCAGTGGGGACAGGTGATGGACTGGCACCTCTGGGTGAGTAGGAGGGTACCAGAGAGCCTCTTGACTGCCCTCGGGGTGATGGGGCTGCCATTCCTCTAGAGGAGGTAGTCAGAGCAGGGAAGTTTCTGGAACAGTGGAACAGTTGCTCCCAGTTAGTCTGTATTCCGATGCCTGTGGTGGAATCCTTACCACCCCCACCCTACAACTGATGCAGGACCTGCCAAGACCTTGGTTTCTCTTCTGTAACTGGGGCTGAGCCTGGGCGGACCCCACATGGTTGCTGCAGGGATCTGTGAGATAAAAGGGCTGCAGCGCTCGCAACAGTGTGGGGTCCATCCTAGGAGCTGCTGTGAAAGTGACCTTTCCCCATGGTACGTGCTGTCTTGCAGGAGAGGCAGCCCTGAATGAGTACCTGCGGGTCAAGACGGTTACTTTCGAGTACTGATGAAAGGTCTCTTGCGAGAAAGCTCCCCTCTCCACAATGTGTCCTTGCCCTCCATAACCAGGCCTGAACCAGCCTGCCTTCTCAGGGAGAGACCAAGGCTGCTTCCCCGGAGTTCCTGCCCTCTCATCTCCTCCTGAGCAAGCAACACTTCCACAGGAAGCACTGGTGGAAGCCCCCTGCCTGCACCTCTGTCCCCGCTGGGACATCCTCACCCCTGTCTGATCACAGTGGCCTTTGGCGAGGTGAGAAGGTGGCCCCAGGGTGAATAAAGGTTCTGGCCATTGGCAACCCCGTGTCTCTCTGTTCCATCTGTGGGTGCTCCTGGGTGGCCCTGCAGGTCCAGGCACTCGTGTGTATTGCCCAAGGAGGGTGCCCTGGGGAGAGGTGCAGCAGTGAAATGTGGGTGTACATCAGTTAGGATGAAGCTAGGCATGAGAGACATCTGTGGGGTGACTCCTGGGAAATGCAGAGCAGAGGAAGCAGGACGGGTTAGGGTTAGGGTTGGAACCAGCATCCCATCCCTCCACTTTGCTCTCTCTTTCTCCTCTCACCCTGCAGGACTCTGGGGCCTTCCCTTCTTCACCCCTACCCCCTAGGTCCCAAACATTACACCACCACTTACCTGCTGTTCCCTCAGTTTGCCCCACATGGCACTCTCTGCTTGGCATTTCAACCCCCTAGCCCACCTGCTCTGCCCCTCTGGGCTCCACAGCATCTGAAGATCTTCTCTTCCCCCTGCAGTTTCCCTGGCTGTGCTAGGAGTGGCCTGGCCCAGGCTGCGCATCTGTTTGCTCATCTGCAAGCAGCCCTTCCCAGCAGAAAGCAGGCAACATGTGGAGCACAGGCACATCTGAACCCAAATAGAGCCAAGAAACCCTTTTCTTCCCTCTTCAGACACACACACAGAGCTTGGTTTCAGCCAGGCTGCCTCTCTACAGTTCCACTTGAGACCTCTGGTTTAGATGTGCAGGGCTGGGCTCCTACCTTTCTAGCCTCCCCTCTCTTCAAGAATTCTCCTGAAACTATAAGGTAAGTATATAAGAAAAGCCACCCTGCTTCCCCCTCCTATTTCTTTCCTGTTGTGACTCCTTTACTTTTACACAGAATACTTCACTTCTGACACTTCTGGTCATCACATGTGGGGGCTGTGTCCCACATTGAGCAATTCTCTGTGACACCAGTTGGGTGTCCTACAATTAAACTCAATTCTGACACTATCCACCCAGAGATATAGTGTCAGATCCCACAGGTTAAGAGCTCAGTCCCACAAAACTGTTCCCACCCACTTTAGGTGCCAGTCACAAGTAGCAGATCTCCAGGTTGCCCCACAACTTCTGTCTGATTTGGCTACAAATCGGAGGTTCCCATGACTCCCACCTGGAGTTACATTAATTTTCTAGAGGGGCTCAGAGAACTCAGAGAAACACTTATGTTTCCCAGTGTAATAAGGATATGATAAAGGATACAGATGAGCAGCCAGATGAAGAGATGCATAGGGTGAGGTCTGGGAGGGTCCTGAGCACAGGAGTCTCTGTACCAATGGAGTTGGGGTGGGTGTGGATGTCTTTGCCAACCTGGAAGCTCTCCAAACCCCATACTACTGGAATTTTTATGGACTCTACCTCGCATAGTCATGATCAGTCATTAACTCCATTTCTAGCCCCTCTCCTGTATCTGGAGATTGGTTGGAGGCAGAGGCTGAAAATGCCAAGCTTCTAATCATGGCTTCATCCTTTTGGTGACCAGTTGCCATCTAGGACCCTCCCAATCACCTCAATAGAATAAAAGATGCTCCTAGTGCTCTTCTCATTTAGAAATTTACAAGGGTTTTGGGAACCCTCTGTCCAATATGGGGTCAGAGACAAATATTAGTGTTCTTACTTAGGAAATTACAAGGGTTTCAGGAGCTCTGTGCCAGGAACCAAGGGCAGAGACCAATATGTATTTTCTATTATCTCACAGTAACAAGGATGAAACTATTAGTTTACTCATTTCCTTTATCCCCTTCTTTCTTGAGTTATAGAACCCCAAATTTTACATGGGCACATGGCTGACCAGAAGAAAGACAGAATTCCCAACCTCCTTTGCAGTTAGGTGATGGTCATGGAACTGAACCTAGCAGACGAAATGTGAATGGAAGTAATACCTGCCACTCCAGAGACATGCCCTTTAAAGGGGGGTCATGCTGTTGCTCTCCCTCTTTTCCTTCCCCTGGGCTGGCTGGAAGCAGACCCAGGAGACAGGGTGGTGGGCATTTTCCGACCATGCAGATATGGCAACACCTGTGGAGGGGGATAAATGGCACAGAGTGGCAGACACTTAAATACCAAACATCATGGGGTGATGTTCCAGAGTACCAGATGGTGACTGGTACACGGAGGTGACTGGCACATGAGGGAAATAAACTTGTTGTCTTTTTGTGATTTTTTTTTTCCCTCGGAGTTTACCTACAGTGGTAGGAGGGATGCTTTATTTACTTTTTTTTTTTTATTAACGTATAATGTATTATTTGTTTCAGGGGTACAGGTCTGTGATTGATCAGTCTTACACAATCCACAGTGCTCACCATAGTACTTACCCTCCCGAATGTCCATCACCCAGCCACCCCTTCCCTCCCACCGCTCTCCACTCCAACAACCCTCAGTTTGTTTCCTGAGATCAAGAGTCTCTTACAGTTTGTGTCCCTCTCTGGTTTCGTCTTGTTTCATTTTCCCCTCCCTTCTCTTTGATCCTCTGTCTTGTTTCTCAAATTCCTCATATCATATGATACTTGGCTTTCTCTGATTGACTTATTTCACTTAGCATACTACTGTCTAGTTCCAGCCACGTCACTGAAAATGGCAAGATTTCATCTTTTTGATGGCTGCATAATATTCCATTGTATATATATACCACTTCTTCTTTATCCATTCATCCGTTGATGGACATCTAGGCTCTTTCCATAGTTTGGCTATTGTGGACATTGCTGCTATAAACATCGGGGTGCATGTGCCCCTTTAGATCACTACATTTGTATCTTTGGGGTAAATACCCAGTAGTGCAATTGCTGGGTCATAGGGTAGCTCTATTTTCAGCTTCTTGAGGAACCTCCATACTGTTTTCCAGAGTGGCTGCACCAGCTTGCATTCCCACCAACAGTGTAGGAGGGTTCCCCATTCTCTGCTTCCCCACCAACATCTGTCGTTTCCTGACTTGTTAATTTTAGCCATTCTGACTGGTGTGAGGTGGTATCTCATTGAGGTTTTGATTTGCATTTCCCTAAAGGCAAGTGATGTTGAGCACTTTTTCATGTGTCTATTGGCCATTTGGATGTCTCCTTTGCAGAAATTTGTGTTCATGACTTCTGCCCATTTCTTGATTGGATTATTTGTTCTTCGGGTGTTGAGTTCTTTATAGATTTTAGATACTAGCCCTTTATCTGATATGTCATTTGCAAATATCTTTTCCCATTCTGTTGGTTGTCTTTTGGTTTTGTTGACTGTTTCCTTTGCTGTGCAAAAGCTTTTTATCTTGATGAAGTCCCAAATAGTTCATTTTTGCCCTTGCTTCCCTTGCCTTTGGTGATGTTTCTAGGAAGAAGTTGCTGTAGCTGAGGTCGAAGAGGTTGCTGCCTGTGTTCTCCTCTAGGATTTTGATGGAATCCTGTCTCACATTGAGGTCTTTCATCCATTTGGAGTCTATTTTTGTGTGTGGCGTAAGGAAATGGTCCAGTTTCATTCTTCTGCATGTGGCTGTCCAATTTTCCTAACATCATTTGTTGAAGAGACTGTCTTTTTTCCATCGGACATTCTTCCCTGCTTTGTCGAAGATTAGTTGACCATAGAGTTGAGGGTCCATTTCTGGGCTCTCTCTTCTGTTCCATTGATCGATGTGTCTGTTTTTGTGCCAGTACCATACTGTCTTGATGACGACAGCTTTGTAATAGAGCTGGAAGTCCAGAATTGTGATGCCACCAGCTTTGCTTTTCTTTTTCAACATTCCTCTGGCTATGCGGGGTCTTTTCTGGTTCCATACAAACTTTAGGATGATTTGTTCCATTTCTTTGAAAAAAGTGGATGGTATTTTGATAGGGATTGCATTGAATGTGTAGATTGCTCGAGGTAGCATTGACATCTTCACAATATTTGTTCTTCCAATCCATGAGCATGGAACATTTTTCCATTTCTTTGTCTTCCTCAATTTCTTTCATGAGTATTCTATAGTTTCTGAGTGCAGATTCTTTGCCTCTTTGGTTAGCTTTATTCCTAGGTATCTTATGGTTTTGGGTGCAATTGTAAATGGGATGGACTCCTCAATTTCTCTTTCTTCTGTCTTGGTGGTGTAAAGAAATGCCACTGATTTCTATGCATTGATTTTATATCCTGCCACTTTACTGACTTCCTGTATGAGTTCTAGCAGTTTTGGGGTGGAGTCTTTTGGGTTTTCCGCATAAAGTATCATATCATCTGCAAAAAGTGAGTTTCAGTTCTTTTTTTTTTAAATTTTTTTAAAGATTTTATTTATTTATTTGAGACAGAGAGAATGAGAGAGACAGAGAGCACATGAGAGGGGGAGGGTCAGAGGGAGAAGCAGGCTCCCTGCCGAGCAGGGAGCCTGATGCGGGACTCGATCCTGGGACTCCAGGATCATGACCTGAGCCGAAGGCAGTCGCTTAACCGACTGAGCCACCCAGGCGCCCCTGAGTTTCAGTTCTTTGCCAATTTGGATGCCTTTTATTTCTTTTTGTTGTCTGATGGCTGAGGCCAGGACTTCTAGTACTATGTTGAATAGCAGTGGTGATAGTGGACATCCCTGCCATGTTCCTGACCTCAGAGGAAAAGCTCTCAGTTCTTCTCCATTGAGAATGATATTCGCGGGGCACCTGGGTGGCTCAATCATTAAGCGTCTGCCTTTGGCTCAGGTCATGATCCCAGGGTCCATGGGATCATGATCCCATGATCCCCGCATTGGGTTCCCTGCTCCTCGGGAGGCCTGCTTATCCCTCTCCCACTCCCCCTGCTTGTGTTCCCTCTCTCACTGTGTCTCTCTCTGTCAAATAAAAATAAAATCTTAAAAAAAGAGAGAGAATGATATTCGCTGTGGGTTTTTCATAGATGGCTTTTAAGATATTGAGGTATGTACCCTCTATCACTACACCCTTAAGAGTTTCAATCAAGAAGGGATGCTGTACTTTGTCAGATGCTTTTTCTGCATCTATTGAGAGGATCATATGGTTCTTGTTCTTTCTTTTATTAATGTATTGTATCACATTGATTGATTTGTGGATGTTGAACCTTTGCTGCATCCCA